CAAAGCAGGGACTCCTGCCTGGTGATTCATGAATCCTCACTGTGCCAACTTGTTGACTATCTGTTGTGTCTAGGGCTCAGCTGGAGTGGAAAAGGCAGTTGAGGGACTCTCCTCCCTTAGATCCTACTGAGGAAGATGGCACATGAATTGGGAGGAAAGAATATGTAAGGATGAGAGGCACACTGAATGGGTGAAGGCAGGGATACATCCTTGGGGTGAGGTTAGAAGGGTGGGACCTGCCTTAACCAGGGCCTGTGGGCATCCTGAGGTGATGTTTAAGCAGAACCATGAAGATCAGGAGTCAGTATGTGAAGGAAAGAGGCAAGAAGGCCACCCCCAGCACTGTGGAGGTTAAGGCAAGACTGTGTTGAGTTTCAGGCTAGCTTAGGCATTGCAAAACCACAAAGAGTCTGGGGCGATCAGACAAGGGCTTAGATGTCAAATTGTCCCCAGGCCCTGGAATTAAGGCTTGGAAGGTTGGAAGGAGTAGTGTTATCTAGTCAGCCCTGCTAGTCTGTTTGACCCTGTCTTGGGTGATCCAGGTTTATGGTCAGCACTACTGAAAGCAGAGCCTACTCTTGGCCTCCCCTGCTCAGCCCATGTGACTAGGTCATGATCCTTGTTCCACTCACTGGTTAATCTAACCTAATAGAGCAGGATGCAGAGTTCAGGGGGTTCCCTCTCCTTTACAGCTCACTAGCAGACCTTTCTCAGGGTAGGAGGTTGCCCCTCTATAGGGTGGGAGGTAAGGCCCACCTTGTCTCTCTCTCTCTCCACAGTCCTAAAGGGGAAGAAGCTGAGCTTGCCGGCATAGCCCTGGCCTCACTGGCCTTCTCCAAGGCAGGGCAGGAGGCAGAAGAAGGCTGCTGAAGACCGAGAGCCTTCCCATCCAGAGTTGACTTTTTTTAAAGAGCTCGCCTCCCCTGGCTCCCCATCCCTCCAGCTGGGTTTTGGGGTCAATGGAAGACCCCTATCCTGGGGAGCTCAGGACCTGAGCTGTTTGTAGCCTTTTGCCTTTTAGAGAAGAAAAACAAGAAACAAATCTTTCCACTATTTAGTTTTTGATTCTGATGACTTTTTTCTCTTCTACCCTGGCCCTGATTTTTTATAAACTGTGTTTTGAGTGTTCTCTGGACCAGGGCCAGTGGAGGTCTACTCCCTTCTCTAAGCCACTTAGCTCCCTCCAAGATCCCACCCGAGCCCCATGGTTGCCAAACACTACATCTGCCAATGTCCGCCTGCCCACCTTGGCTGTGACCACAATCCTCCCACAAGTTCCTGGATTGGTGGTAAGAAGGAAGAAAGTTAAGGAGGGTCTCCCTAATTTTTCATAATTTTTTTCCCCAGAATTTCTTAGCTTTTTGTGGGGGGGGGAGGGGAAGGGAGGGAAGGGTTGTCCTGTTTTTGACAAATTAGGGGACGCTTTGGGCTTAGGCAAGGGAAAGAGGCTGGATGACCCAGGGGTCACTATACTCTAACACCATGTTTTTGTACAGAATTTGATGACTGATTCTTTGTTCTCTTGAAATAAACAACGGAAAACTGTCTTCTCTTTGCTGTCCCCTGCCCTCTTTGGTTTGTATTGGGCCCTGGCCAATTCTACTTTTGCATCATAGACCTTCTGGGGATGATCAGAGGTCTGGAAGGAACAGAAGAATGACGAATGGGGTTTCCCCAGGACTCTCCGATGCACTGTGATGCCTTGAGGTTCTGCAGAGAAGAGGTTGGGAGACTCCAATTCTTTGTTTGATATATTAACTGCCTGATGACTGTCCAGAGGACTCTGTAGAGCATGCCCACGATGGGACAGCCCTCATCCTATCCCTTCCCCTAGCTGGCATTTGAAAACAGTTGTTTTATGTGTATGAGTGTTTTGCCTGATGTATGTCTGTGTACTGTGTGTGTCCGGTGCCCACAGAGGCCACAAGTGGTTATCAGATCCCCTGAAACTGAAGTTAAGACAGTTGTGAGGTGCTGTGTTGGTACTGGGAATTGAACTTAGGTCCACTGCAAGAGCAGCCAGTGTGGGTGCTGGAGAGATAGCACATTGGCTGCTCTTCCAAAGGTCCTGAGCTCAATTCCGAGCAATGACATGGTGGCTCATAACCATCTATAGTGAGATCTGGTGTCCTCTTCTGGTGCGCAGGCACATATGCAGATAGAATGTTGTATAAATAATAAATCTTAAAAAAAAAAAAGCAGCCAGTGCTGTTAACTGCTGGGCCATCTATCCAGCCATTCCCTAAGCCTGGCATTTTGATACTGTTTTATAAAAAAAGAAAGAAGGTTGCCAGCTTTAAAAAACCAGATCTTCATACCACAGTCTGGATTTCTGGCCTCTGTAAAAGAATTCAGTCAATTCCACAGTGGTGGTCCTCATTCTGGACAGCAGCAGGTGGCTGATGCTGATAGATGGGTGCCTGCATTTTCCATAGAGCTCATCTTGGCTATGGGCTGTTACCATTTATTATTGGGCTGATACTGTATGTATGTGTGTATATATATATATATATATATATATATATATATATATATATATATATTTTATAGAGTTAAAAAGCAAATGAAAGCTTGGCGTGCACTCGGGAAGCAGAGGCAGGCTGATCTCTGTGAGATCGAGACTAGCCTGGTCTACAAAGTTAGACCACAACAGCCAGCTCTACACAGACAGAAACCCTGTCTCAAAAAACCAAAATAACAACAAAACAAAAACAAAAAACAAACACAAACAAATGAAATACTTAACGGCCTCTTTTGAGATGGGCTTCACACCTGACCATTTCTGACTTACACTCTGCCTGGCTCTTGTCAGTGATAGGATCAAGTTTTGTTTGTTATGATGGGGATCAAATTCAGGGCCTTGTATGTACCCTAGGCAAGTAGTCCTCCATTGCGCTCTGTCCCAGCCAGCATGTGGATTTTGATCCTTGGTTCAAACTTCCTATTTGTCCTTTGAAAACTTCCCAGTTCATAGTTGTGTCCGGTGCCAGTTCTTTGACCTCATAACTTGTATCTCTGTCTAGTTTGTAAATGTTCTCTGCAGGTCATACCAGCCCTTATACAGGTGTGTGTGTGTGTGTGTGTGTGTGTGTGTGTTAGGGTCTCAAGCTTAGAGGACTTTTCTAGAGTACTTGCCATATCTTGGATATGCAGCATTTGACCCTCAGCATACTTGATAAACAGTGAAACACTTTATAAATGAGGATATTGAGGCCTAGAAGGATAAATGACAAAGACGGAGCTTGTTCCTAGACTTCCTAGCTCCAGAACCCTCTTGTTTAACTACTCTGTGTGTTTTAGTGGCTGCTTCTGTTGAGAAGTTTTGCCCAGAAGCCTGGTGGAGGCTGGTCCCTGTCTGCTTATCCCTGAGATTCCTCTTTGAGAATCAATCCATCTAACAGATTACATGCTATGTTGAAGGTCTTCCAGCTCATGTAGCACAGAAGACAAAGCCTGCTTCCCAGCCCAGAGTGCTTCCTGTCACTCTTTTCTCTTGCTCTCCACTATAATCATGCTGCTGTGTGAGTTTTATGCCTGACACACATGAAGCCCCCCCCAAAACAAAACATACTGGAGCCTAACTTTGACCTCCCCATAACTTATATCTCTGTTATTTGTTATTTGTAAATGCTCTGCAGGTCATGCCAGCCCTTGTACAGGTGTGTGTGTGTGTGTGTGTGTGTGTGTGTGTGTGTGTGTGTATGTTTGTTAGGGTCATGTGTGTGTGTGTGTGTGTGTGTGTGTGTGTGTGTGTGTATGTATGTATGTTAGGGTCTTATGTATCCTACACTGGCCTCAAATCCCTAAGTACTGAGGTTGATCTTTAACTTCGGGTCCTCCTCCCTCCCTGTCCTGAGAGATGGGATTATAGATGTGCACTGTCATATCTGGCTTATATGATGCTAGAGATTAAAGGAACCCAGGGATTTGTGCATGCTGAGCAAAGTATTCTAAGTATTCAACTAAGTTATAGCCCTCACTCCCTACTTAAAAAAGTCTGTTAGCCACTAATTTCATGTACAAAAAAAAAAAAAAAAACCAACAAAATAACAAAAAAGATGCTTAGTTGTTTTAGAGAACCCACCAGAAGGATCAAGAGTGATACTGCCAGTGAGTTGCCCATCAGTGACTTGATATGGCACATCCAAAGTGAGCTGTGTTGTGAGGTAAGGTGCACAGTGGATTTTAATAGTTAGAATGAATGCGAAGTGCTGCAAATGGTGGCCCCTGCCTGGAATCTCAGGATTGAGGCTGAAGGATCGTAAAATCCAGGCCAGCCTGAGCTGTACAACAAGACCATGTTTTACAAAGAAAATCAAAGTTGAATTCTCATTGATTTGATTATATGTTGAAACAGTAGCATACTGGATATATTAAGTTATATTAAAATTGACCTGTCTCAATGTAGCCTTGAGCAAGTTTCTGCATCCTCGGCCCCATGGAAGAGTGGTGGGGTAAAGGTCATTCTGGCACGAGGTGCCACCTGCCTGATCCCTCATAGCAGGGCTGTAGCCTGGTGACCCTGGGAGTCTACAGTAGAGACACTTGCCTGTTTCCCAGGACAGACTGCAGTATATTTGAAGACACAGGTCTCCTCATCTCATTCATGGACTCAGCGCCCTGAGTCCTCACACACACTGCTCTGTTGAGTGCCTTCATCGTCGTGGGAGTGAAGAGCCTGGGCTGCTGGGTCGATACGGCACTGTTTCTCCCTGGCACTCAGGTCTGTCCTCTCTCAGCCTCAGCTGCAGCATGAGGCCCTTGTACCTCCTCTTCAAGGCTAAAGTGAGCTCAAGGTACAGGTAACATGGCACGGCTCCTGCCTGGCGCCACTGCTGGTGTGCTGTCAGCAGGGTGATTAGCATTTGGAGATAGCACAGAAGTGTAACTTGTGGCAATGGTCTCCCTCCTCCCCCTGCCACTCAAGGGATGAGAGAGGAACAGACAGGCCAGGGTCGTTCAGAAACCCCTCAAAGGGGGCTCTTTACTGATGTATGTGAGGCTGTTTAGCTGTCTGGCATCATAGCCAGGCGAGGGGCCTTTGGAGTGGTCATATAGGGGGCCCTGGCTGAGCTGGTGTAACTCAGAGTGTTGGGGACTGTGGTGGGAGGGCTACTGGTGGATGAAGCGGGGAGCGTGTTCAGCACCACACCACCCTCATCCAGGGAGCGCTTGTAGGGGACTGGAGCCTCGTCTCGGAGGTCCTGGAAGGCCACGTAGGCCTGGAATATCTGTGGGCAGGAAAGGGCAGGATTTAAGTTGCTGGCCTGGGAAGGGAGGCCCAGGGACTGGCCTGGGAATGCAGTGGAGAGCTGTGTGTTCACTGCCCAACAGTGCCCAGGATGGGGATGCCTGAGGAAGGTAGGCTTGGAGGATGACAGCAGAGGCCCAGGGAGAGTCCTGGCCTTAGGCACCAGAGGTACAGCCCTCCCAACCCACCCTGGACGGGGGGCAGGGTTTGTCCTCACCCAGACAGGGACAGAGAAGAAAGCAAAGGCAATGGCTGCCTTGGCGCTGCTGTTCCCCAAGAGGAAATGCTCAGACTTCGAGTGCTGCCACTGGCTGGCTAGGAAACAGAAGGCCACAAACCAGACACCTGCCCAGAGGACTAGAGGGGCAAGGAAGGAAGAGAGCTGGGGGAGCGTGCTGGGGCAGGGGCAAGGGATGCTAGGGATGGGCTCAGGAGTCCTGGACACCCCTGGTGCTAACCCAGATCCCTCAAGTGTCCCCAAAAGCCAACTTCTGGAGTGGAGCTCCCGCGTCTAACACAGCACCCCAGCTACATGCTGCTGCTTTAGCTGCATCAGAATCTTGAAGGAACCCAGTGCCCTGTAGGCCAGCCACATCTCATGTGCTCAGGAGCCATAAGTGAAGGGGGCCTCACACAGAGGACAGCACCCTCCTGCTGCAGAGGCTCTCTGGCCCTGAGGTATCAGGAATGGCTCCTGGGGAGAGGAAGAGAGGCAGTGTGAAGAGAGTCTGAGGGTCTGGCTCTAAAGAATGGGCTTAGTGCCTTCGGTGTGCCAAGCTCTCTAGACAGTGTGACCTGGTTATGCAGGCTGAGCTGTGCTTTGCCATTCACAGAGAAGTAGGGGTACAGTCCCACGAACTCCTTAGCCTCTCTCCTTATAAAATGAGAAGATGGGCAGGACTTACCCCTAGGGCTGTTCGCAGAGCAGAGGAGAGGAGGCACACACCTTGATGGTATGCCTAACACTGGGAGGTGCTCAGCAGGTGTCCACATGCTTATAGGCATCCCTTCACTCATTTCACACTCAGAAACCCCTTCAAGGCAGTCTTCCTCCTAGCTTTCACTGAAGGGCTTTCTGGCTCAGTGCTCTGAGTCAAATTCCTGCCACAGGTGGGCTTTTCAGGCTAGGTTTAGTGGGCCAGGATAATGAATGTGAGTGGAAAGCAGCTTGGGCTAGAGGCAGTGAAGAGACTAGAAAGGCAAGGACTAGAAGATGCTTTTGGGAGGAACCATGGAGTTAGACCCTCGAAGTTGGGAGGATCATCAGGCACAGGTTTGGCAGTTGGGCCCAGGACTGTGACCTGTAGGCACTGGGGCGCTCTCTGTGGTCCCTTGGAACTCACCAGCCAGGATGAAGTCCAAGAGCTGGAAGGCTGTCTTAAAGCGGGTGCCTGTGATGTGGCCCTCTTGGGTGTCCAAGGTAAGGAAGACCAGACAGCTGAGGAAGGACAGGAAGCCAGCTCCTACTGCGAAGCTACAGGCCATGCGGTTGCTGTTGAGGACGCAGTGGAGCTGAGGAGACTCTGTTGTGTTCTGGTAGCCATCAGTTAGTAGAGAGGAAAAGATGACCAGGGAAAAGACCTGTGAACCACAATGGACAGGGTGGAACTCAGCGCTTCCTCCGAGATGCCCTTTCCCTTGGGTGGACACCCTGAGGACTGGGCGTTCTGCAGCCACCCTTTCTGTCACCGCCTCAGAGCCCTGACTCTGCCCTTCACCTCCTTTCCTCCATGTGAGCTCTGGCCTCATCCTTTCTATACCGTCAGCCTAGTCTCCTTTCTGCTCTTTCTCACCACAGTTCAAGGCTCTTCAGTGCCCTCCACTGCTGGCCCATCACTGTGGCCTCCGAGGTGCTCTTGCCTTAGCTTTGTTAATCTCTGCACTCACCCTTGCTTTGCTCCAGACCTTCTGGCCTCACCCTTACTCAGGGTACAAAAGCTAGTAAGCGTCCTCCTCTCCCAGCTTTTCTGTCTTCCTCCTCTCCCCTCCTGGCTTATAACTTTCTATTCTTTTTCCCCCTATGCTTCCCCCCCCCCCCAACCAGGGCCTTTTCATGCAAGTCAAACACTCCACCTGAATGAACACTCTACTTCCCAGCTAGGTGCCTAGGTGCTGGGAAGCACATTCAGGCTCTTGGCAAGTACTCAGCTGTCAAGCCATCTCTCCAGTTCCCTCCTCCCCAATTCATTTTTTGAAATATGTGAAATAGTCAAAATATACAGAAAAATGTGCAGACATGACAAGCATACAGTATTGATTACAGAATTAAAGTGTCAACATTTTGCTTTTTTACTTCAAAGGACTTTTTTCTTTGAGACAGGACTTCACAAGCAGCCCTGGCTGGTCTTGAGCTCACAGCCATCTTCCTGCCTTAGTCTCCCAAGTTCTGGGATATAGGTATGGGACACTACCTCTAGTTTTTGCTTTAGAATTATTTTTTAAAGATTTATTTATTATTTATTTGTACAGCGTTCTGCCTACACACCAGAAGAAGGCACCAGATCTCATTATAGATGGTTGTGAACCACCATGTGGTTGCTGGGAATTGAACTCGGGACTCTTGGAAGAGCAGCCGGTGCTCTTAACCTCTGAGCCATCTCTCCAGCCCCTGCTTTAGGATTCTTAAAAGAGCCCTATAGCATTGCCTTGGGAGCTGCCCCCACATCTGGGCACCTGCCTTCTGTGATACTATCCTACAACCATACTGCAGATAGAGGCACTTTTCTGCTGGTGAATCTGAGAGGATTTATCATAAGGACGAGGAGTTGAATGAATTTATCAGCTAGTAAGCAGCAGAACCTTGACTTGGACTTCAGCAGTGTAGCCCGTCATCCTTTGTAATCTGCCTCAGGCCTGGTCCAGCCTTGAGGGAAGTGGCTCCTATCAGCATGAATCTGTGACGGGCTGAAGCCCCTCCCACACTGCAGGGTGGCAAGCCCAATATTAGGCATAGAAGGAATCCATGTGTGCCCACTGGGTAGAGAGTGGAGTGGGTCCAGGAGCTTTCTACATGGAATGTTTGGGACGAGAAGGACTGAGTAGTGGGGCCACTGTTTGAGGGCAGCGAGCAGAGCAGTGTCAGCTCTCAGTGTGGAGAAAGCCTTCAGGTTGGGTAAAGTTGGCTAGAGTGGTAACTGCGTGCCAAGGAGTCGGGGCAGAATAGAGTGGAAAGAGCTGAAGTTTGGCTGGAAACCAGAGTTCTGGGACTGAAATTTGGAAGTAAGAAGCTGAGACCTGGAGCTTCAAGAAGTTTGCAGGGCATGGAGGTGCGGTCCTTATGACCCAGCGGTTCCCACCCTTCCTAATGCTGTGACCCTGGAGCAGAGGGTCCTCATGTTGTAGCCACCAACCATAAACTTTTTTCACTGCTACTTCAAAACTGTAATTTTGCTACTGCTATACATCATAATATAAATGTCTGGCATGCAGGGTATCGGATATGTGACCCCCCCAAAGTGGTTGTGACCCACAGATTGAGAACTGGCTATTGGAGAGTGGAGGCAGGAGCCAGCCTCAGCTACATATCCAGGTCAGCTTGGGTTCTATGAGACTCTCTCAAAAAAACAAAACAAGAGAAGGAAGCAGGTCCAAGCGTCAGATGCTTTAGATCTGGTTCCTTCGGGGACAAGAGGTCTTGAGATATTCAGTGAGGTGAGGCTGAGATGTAGCAAGAGCTCAAAGACCGAAACAGATCCAAGGAGATGTGAAGGTTAACATTCTCATTTGAACTTCTTTTATCTCTACAAAATTATCTCTAAAAATTTTTGTGTGTTTGAGTGCTTTGACTGCACGTATGCAGGAGCTCCACTGTGTCTGGTGCCTCGGGGTCAGAAGAGGGCATTAGATCCCCTGGAACTATGTGGGTGCTTGGAGTTGAACTTGCGTGCTCTGGAAGGACAAGTGCCATCTCTCAAGCCCCTCACTTGAGTTTCCTCATGTGAGGAAGGGTTCAAAGAAAAAAAAATTAAAAAAGCCAGGACCAGACCTAGGGATTAGACAAATCCTCTGGGGTCATGTGGCCAGTGGACTGATAAGAGTGAGGCAGAAGTTCACAGAGCAGAGACACCAGAGCCCCGAGCAATTCAGACACATTTTGGATCCAGTGAGAGATGGGATGTGACTTAAGCAATGGACTGGTAGGAAAAATGGAGACTTTGACAAGGTTTGAGCCCCTGGAGACAGGCGCTCCGCGGTGAGTGTCTGCACTGGTGCACACAGGGCTCCAGCAGACGAGTATGGACAGTAGCTCTGGCTCCCTGCTCTTCTCAGGTCCTTCCGTGCGGGCTAACGGGGGAAAGACTGACCCTACATTGTCCTGCCCCCTCCTCTCTGCTTCTCTTTCCTTTGCAATAACTGCTTTAAAACCACAATAACTAGCTTCTCTTCTTGCCAAGAACTTCATAGTCAAGACCATAAAGGAAGGCTGTAAGGTAGTCTGGGATAGCAGTTCTCAACCCGTAACCTTTGAGGTTGCATATCCTGCATAACAGATAGCTACATTATGATCCAAAACAGCAGCAAAATTAGTTCTGAAGTAGCAACAGAATAATTTCACGGTTGGGGGGTCACCACAACATGAGGAACTGTATTAAAGGGTAACAGTACTAGGAAGGTTGAGAACCACTGGTCTTGGAGTTAAGGATTCAGTCTTGAGGAAGTACCTTGCACTGCTCATGTCAGGATGAGGCAAGGAAAGGAGAAGAGGGCACATCAATTATTTTTGAACTCATTATTATTGTTGTTGTTGTTGAGACAGGGTTTCTCTGGGTAGCTTGGCTGCCCTGGTCTCACTTTGCCCTGGCCAGGCTGGCCTTGAATTTACAGTAATCTGGCCTGCCTCTGCCTCCTTGAGTGCCAGGATTAAAGGCTTGCCCCAGCACGCCTGGCTGAGTTCATATTCTTTTTCCCTGTGCTACCTCTCTGGCACTGTGCAATGATCCACAAAGGAAGGTGTTATTAATTCACTTCTATTTTCAAAGGTGATAAATCTACCTCACAGCACAACAAAAAAAGCCACATGTCACCAGGCGAGGTGGTGCATATCTGTAATCCTACCGCTTGGGGAGGCAGAGGCACGTGGGATCTCTGTGAGTTCCAGTCCAGCCTGGTCTACAAAGTGAGTCCAGGACAGCCAAGGCTACACAGAAAAACCCTATCTCAAAAAAAAAAAAAAAAAAAAAAAAAAAAAAAAAAAAAAAAAAAGGAAAAAAAGCCATATGTGTCTGTGTCTGATCTGCCAGGCTGTGTGGGCTTTAGCAAGTCATTCAGACCTTGGAACCTCAGTTTCCCACTGTGTTTATGTGGTAAAGAAGGGGATTGGGAGCTCAGGCCTAGTAAGTGCTTGGGACAATGATGGTTCTCTGGACCCACCTAGGGAAAAAACGCAGACCCTTAAAGTTAGCTGCTCTAGGGTGGGTTTGAGTCCAGCCCTCCTGATTTCCAGGGCCCAGGGGCTTTTGTTTATGGTAGAGCCTAGGGCACTGAGAAGGTACAGAGAGGCATCAACTGGCTGGAGATCCTGTTTCTTTGAAGCCTGTGTTTAGTTTCTTTTTGTACTTTCCGTGGCTTGTCTCCAGGGAGGGAGCAAAGATTCATGAGTTTAGGCACCAGTAGGCAGGTGACATGGAGGACATAAATACCAGCTGCTGAGAGACTTCCACTGAGGAACCAGGCTAGGGGAAGGAGGAGAGCGTGTGGAGGCAGCATGGCTGCACAGGCAAAGTCCTATGGCTGTGGGTCTGGCCTGGCTGGCTGCCTCTCCCAGCTTCCCTTAGCCATACCCAGCTAAGGGAGGTGAGTGCCCAGCTCCCTCATGCTCACCTCCACTTTTAGGGCACTGGAGACAGTGAGTGGACCTGAGCTTGACTCCTTCATCAGATGGCTCACCTTGACAAGTCATTCAACCCTTAGGAGTCTCAGCTTCCCCTGGGATTATACAGATCAGTATGTCTTTGTCATAGGTTTCGCCGAGGAGTGAGGGCACCAGAGTAGTGTGTGACAGTCACAATTCCTCTCTTCTCACAAGGAAGAAGGACACTGTGGCACCAGTCCCTGTCATCCCAGGTTCTTCCCTCTCTTCCCTCACAGATTTATTCCAGTGACAATACTTGCTATTTAAGGAGCGCTCAGCACACACCAGCCCCCACCCCCTACCATTCAGTGTGCACATGCGTTGCCTGCCCAGGAGTGGGAGTATTAGGATTCTCAGGACAGATGAGGACATTAATTGAGTTTTGGAGAAAATGCTACATGTATATAGTCTGACCATGTCTGAGCCAAAGGGGCATTTTTGGGAATGAAAAGTGCTGCTGCTGGTTATGCTGGGGAAAGCCCAGCCAAGCAGGGTACTATATCCCTCTAATGGATACCTGACTAGGCTAGGCCTCAAAGCTAGGCCTGTTTGGACTCTGTTCCAGAGGACATAGAAGATACTCTGGATTGGGAACCTGAGGAGATTAAACTCTGGAGTTTAAGCCATGGAGAAGGACATGCATGCCAGCTTCCCAGAGACTCTCATTGAGGAACCAGGGCAGACGGTTGGTTCTTGCTCCCACTACCCTGATCCAATATCGTCACTGGGCCTTAGTTGCCAATTCTGTCCAGCACTCAGGGAGGCTGAAGCAGTAATGTTTTGAATTCAAGGCTAGCCTAGGCTAGGCTACAGAATTAAGACCTTGTCTCAAACAACAAAAACAAAATGACACCCAAAAGATAAAATAGGATGTGTGTGTCGGGGGCACAAACTTGAGAGATGGTTCAGTGGTAAGAGAACTTATTGCCTATGGTGATTTGAATGAGAATGGCCCTCACAAGCTCATGTGTTTAATTTTGGGTTTTTTTGTTTGTTTGTTTTGTTTTGTTTGTATTGAGTTGGGGTATCTCTATATAGTTTTGACTGTTTTGGAACTTGCTTGTAGACCAGGCTGGCCTCGAACTCACAGAGATCATCCTGCCTCTATCTCCATAGTACTGGGATTAAAGGTGTCTACCACCATGCCTTGGCCAGACTCATATATTTGAATGCTTGGTCCCCAGTTGTTGAAACTGTTTGGTAAAGATTAGGGGGTGAGACGTTATTGGAGGAGGTGTGTCACTGGGGGCGAGCTTTGAGGTTTCAAGAGCCCACGCCATTCCAGCTTGCTCTCTCTCTGCCTCCAACTTGTAAATAAAAAGTAAGCTCTCAGCTGCTGCTACAGCACCATGCCTGCTTGCCTGCTGCCTGCCATGATGCCTTGCTCCCTGCCATGATGGTCGTGGACTCATCTTCACAGCAATAGATGAGTAACTAAGACCCAAGCAGGTGGCTCACAACCAGCTCTAACTCTGGTTCCAGGTGATCTGGCACCTGCCAGCCTCCACCAGAGCCTGCATGCATGTGGTGCACACCAACCCACGAAGTCACATACACATAATTTAACAACTCTTTTAAAAAGAGAAGGACTCAGTGTAGGTGGAAAGCCTGATGTTGAGAGAGGGGCAGGAGCGCAGCACAAGTGGGCTGAAGGACGATTTTGCTCCCAGTGTCCAGATTCTTAGGGACTATGGTAATGATTAAAGGACGCACACAATGCGTCAGCACCATGCCTGGCACAGGTGACTACTCAGATCTGGAGCCTGGCTCTGTTGCTTATTGTCTTCCCATCTGTAATAGAGCCCAGTCCTTGTTTCCCCATCCCCACCCAAGAAATGGGAAATGCATGGGTCCAGGTATCTCACAGAACTGAGTGACACTACCTCTTTCTCTTTGTTAACCTTAATGGATGCTGTGGAATTTTCTGGAATGAAAACGTCCTGAACCACGCTGTCCAACTGGAGAGCCACAAGGTACCTGCGCAGCTAAACACCTGAAACAAGGCCACACTGACTGCAGAAGAGCCCATCTGAATTAAATTAGCTGGAATTGGAGTAGCTCATGTGGCTTGTGGCTACCCCATTGGACAGTCTTCAAACACTGATTCCATTTATTGGTGTTCTTTTTTTTTGGGGGGGGATTATTTTTCTTCCTTGAAGGGTTTCACTTTTTTCTTTCTCCTACACTGTAACCAAGGCTGGCCTCAGACCTTGACAATTCTTCTACCTCAGTCTCACATGTGCTGGTGTTAAAAATCATGCCCAGATGTGAGGGCTTCTTTCTCATAATGGTGCTGACAATAGCTGGTGACCACATCTGACCCCTACCCCTGCTCCTGGATCTCTCCTGTGTCCTGACTCCCAGGATCTCACCCCTCCGCAGATCCTCGAGATGCTCTTTGGTTTCCTCAGAAAGCGCACAGCCTCACTGTCTGCCAGGTCCTGCAGGCTTTCATGGAAGTGCATGGTGGCTTCTCTTCTTTGGGTGTCCTGGGAGGTAGGGGCAGGGGTGTTGGGTGCTGCTTTCTGGGCACCACTGCCCGCGTGCTTCAGGGCTACCCTGGGGCTCAGCTACTGCAAAATAGCACAAATGGGAATGTCAAGAGTCAGGGTGCTGGCGGTGGGGAGCACTGGTCCACGCCTGGGTGGAATAGGGAGTGTGTGGGAGTCAGCATCTGATGTGAAAGGAGGGCTGAGTAGCCAGAGGTGGGAGCTGATATTAGACCGAGGATTCCAAGGTAGGGGTGGATGGACCGAGGGGGTTAGGAGCCCTAGGAACAGGGGTGAAGGGACTGGCTGCTCTCGTTATCAGTAGTCAAAAATATGGGGTGAGAAAAGGCTGGGTGGTCCCAGGTGCTAGAGATAAGAGATAGGGTATGTGGGAGGTTCTTGGGATGGGAACACGGCTAAAAAGGCTGGTTCAGGTCCTAGAAGTTGAAAATGTAGGGTCTCAGGAGCTGAAAAGGGACCAGGGGGTGCTGAGGGCCCTGGGTGTTGGGGACATAAGGGTGGTGACGGGTGACAGGCCTGCTGGGTCCTCAGAGTGGAGGCATGAGGTTAGAGTCCCCAGGGCATGGGACCCTAGTGAAGGCACTGTAAACCAGAGTCCACGGGAGTGCAGCTGCCCCTCGCATAGAAGATCATGGCGAGCCCAGGAATACCTGAGGTGTTCCCTGACTTGTGTCACTTCCCATAACAAGAGCCTTGCTTAGGTTTCAGCTCTGTTTCAGGAAGCCGCAATGTCTCAGACTGGGGTCTGGTTGGTCTGTGAAGCCTCGGAAACCAGCCCGCTCAGGATGAGAGTTATGGAAGCCTTCTTAGAACAGGGGGGCCTCCCTTCCAAGGGCGTGGGAGCGGAAGTGCTGAGACCCCAGGGACGCCGCCTGAAGAGAACCACCTAGTCTTCGAGGGCCGAGGACCATCAGTCGCCACTGGGAGATTGGCTGCTCCGTCTGCCTGCTCTCCTCTCCTGCTCCAGGGCGCTACCTCTAGTCTCCTTTTGGTTCCTATTTTTCCCGCCTTTTCTGTTCTCTACAGATGATTGGCTGCAGCCAAGTCCCGCCCCTTTCTCGTCCACCTACCCGAGCTGAGTAGCGAAGGGGCGTGGCCACAGCGGACGTTGGGCGGGTCGCCGTTGGCCAGGCGCGCGCCAGGGCCCGGCCCAGCCCCCAGCCTCCGAACTTGTCTCCCCCGCCCCGCCCCTTCCCTTTGAAATAGTGACGCTTCTTTGGCGCATGCGCGTCACAGAAAAATCCAGACTAGCGGTAAAGCATGCGCAGTCGAGACAGCGCTGGAGGAAAAAAAAAAAAGGTTTCAAAGGCTTTGAGCATGCGTATTACTGCTTGCTGAAGCCAACCCTCTGGGCCCGGGACCTCTTCGTGCACATGCGCAGAAGGCTCAATGACAGTCGCGCGCTGGCTAAGGTGAGGGGAGGGTGGGCGATTGCATGGCCCAGGGAGGGCGGCACAGCACCCACTATTACTTTTCCTAGTTTTCCAACGCTCCTGAGATTCACTTCGTTGTCTAAGCTCCGCAGAAACCATCTGCACCGCTATAGGGTCCCTGGGCCTGCAAGATACTCCAAAGTAGGCCCCTGACCCTAGTCTGGCACCCACCTAAATGTGCAGTGTGGAACGGATAAGAGGGAGGGAAACTGGCTAGGGACTGTCCCTGAAGGGAGGGGCTGTGGAGGTACTACCTCCTACTGACCTTTGTCACCCCTCTTCATTTGCTTATGTTTAGGCTCTGGGAAAAGGGGCTGGTCATGTTGCATGTGACCTGGGGGTCCAAGGTCCGAGTATGGTCCTTGGTGCCTGCTCTTCTCGGGACTCCCCGGGCTCTGTCAACCCTGGCGGACAGGATGGGGGTGTACCGCAAGATGTGGAACCCCAAGGAGCCCCGCGACTGGGCCCAGCAGTACCGCGAGCGCTTCATTCCATTCTCCAAAGAGCAGCTGCTCCGCCTCCTGATTCAGGTACTGCCCATCAGTGGTCAGTCCCCAGAGCCTGGAGACTACAATTTCCGGCTGATCTAGCAACTGCACCATTGTGTCTCTATCGAGGGCTGCTCTAGCGCCTCCTGGGAGTTGTAGTTCGTGGTCTCTTTAGCATTCCTAGTGGATACAAGAAAGTTGGAAAGCACGAAAGAGCTCCAAGATGAGATACCTAATGGATTCCCGACCCGGGCTTTTTCTGGGGCCTTGAACAGGCACTCTGGGACATGAGGTGTTTCCCTTGAAACAGATATAACTACCATCCTCATCATTACTTTCTACTACATAATAAAAGTGTACCTGCAAAGCCGTAATCATAATTATTATCATCACACTTTGAGCTCTTACTCTGTGGCACTGTGCTACATATTTGTAATGTACAGAACCATCTGAACAACCTAGTAAGAAAGAGATCACATCATCCAATTTTACAGGTGTAAAAGCAAAGTGAGCCAATGCTTGCTGGATTCCAAGAGTGAGACCCTTACCTTACCGCTGATGGATTCCAGATGGCTCTCAGCCCACCATCCCTGTCAGACCTCCCACCGTTGACGACCACTCATTAATGCAGCAGTTGTTTATTGAACACCTGCTGTGTATCCCAAGTTCTGTGCTAGACTTTATATACCCATGCATTCTTGTCATCACAGTGCCATCAAAATTTCCCTTAGGATGGGGGGGTGACTTAGCGGTTGAGGGCATTTGTTACTCTTGCAGAGGACCCAGGAACTGTTTCTAGCACCCACATAGTAGCTCACAACATCCATAGCTCTAGTTCCAAGGGATACAGTGCCCTCTTCTTACCACTGCTGGCACTAGGCACACATTGGGCACATACATGCAGTCAAAACACACACATGCAATAAATAAAAATTTCTCTGGAGTCAGTAGGGCCCATCATGACACTCAGAAATGACTTCACTGAGCCTCAGTTTTCCCCTTTGAAAAACTGGGGTTCTGATTCCTTCAACCCTGTCCCTTCTCTGGGGGAGGATGTTCTGTCAAGAAAGAACACCTGCCATACAGCACACGTTCTGTGGCAGAGCCAGTGCCAAGCCTTGAAGCCTTCTGCTTTCCCTGTGCCATGCTGGGTCACACATTTGGCTAAATCACCTTTAAATACAAATTTAAAAGCCCAGAATTCCCAGCTTGTATGTGGGTTGCCATGAAAGGTTTCCTCTGGAGGAAGAAGAAAGAGGCCTAACTGGGTTTTCTTTCTGGGTGGCAGGAGTTCCACTCCAGCCCAGCAGAGAGAGCGGCTGTGGAGGCCTTCTCAGCTCATGTGGACTTCTGTACCCTGTTTCACTACCATCACATCTTGGCCAGGCTGCAGGTGAGGACAGTCATTCAGCCTCTTCATGCATGTTTGCCCAGTGTCTGTTTCATACGTAGTGACTGACACCTGCTTGGAGCCTGGCTCTCTTTTAAGTTCTGAGGACTCGGCTGTGACCAGGATAGATGTAGCCTCGTGGAGCTGGCATTTTGGCTGGGGAGACAGGAAATAAAATGAATGTAAAACACGATGTCAGGTTGAGGGATCTGCAGGGAGAAGGGACTGAGATGTCCCCAGACTCACAGAGACCCACCCTGTCTGCCTCCTGTGTGCCAGGATGTGCCTGGAGGAAGTTAGCTATGTGAGCAGAGGGTGACTGAACGCCTTGGGTCTGCAGTGAAAGAAGCTTTGGAAGCGTCACGATGACACTGACACTGTCAAGGGAATTAGTGTTTCTGACTAGGATACTGGGGCAGAAATGCTGTTGGCTGGGCATTGTACACACTGGTGTTTATCCTCAGTGACATCAGGCTTGAAGCCTGAGCTCAGAGTGTCCATGATCTGGGATCTAATGAGGATTGCTTGCTTATTCAGCCCTTTTGCTCTCAGCATTGTCCTCACATGTGGGAGGGTTGAGCAAGAGCTCTGTGCTTTCTTTTAAGGATTTTGACTCCCATGAGGGCTCTTTCCCCCTGTAAGTCTAACTTGTTAAAGTCACATCTTGGCATGGAGGCTGACCTTTTACTCTTGCCCTTCTACAGATTAGACAGAAACTGAGTGGTCCAAGCATAGCCATGGCTTACAGTGGCAGTGAAGACCACCCGAAATAGTTAGGGCCGCAGGTCAACCATGAAGGATATTCCTAGATTAGGGTTTCTTCTTACCAGCTGGTGAGGGGCTGAACGTTCTTGAGGTGTATAAAGTGGGAACCCACAGAGTGCTGAGCTGACCTCACGCTCTGTCCTCAGATGGCCCTCCCTGCCTTGCCTTGAACAATACAACAGCTCTTCCGAGCCCAGTGTGCGTCCTGTGTCCAGCGGCAGCCCTGTCTGCTGCTGCCAGCCCCATTTGTGCAGACAAAAAGCTGGGCTCAGGGAGAGTCTGGCAATGTTCAAGGTTACAGGGGTCACAACTGCAGGCTCAGTCCCAGGCCTCCTCACCTGCCTCCATGTTCTGTCATTGGCATATGTTGCTTCTGCAGGTAGAGTTCTTTTTTGGTTTTGTTCAAAATAGTTTGCTATGTAAAAGTTACTCTCCTTCCCTCCCTTTCTCCTTTCCTTCCTTCCTTTGAAATGGGGTCTCACTGTGTCGCCCTGGTTGGCCTGGACCTCTCAAGATAGACTGGGTTGGTCTTGAGCTCACAGAGATCTGCCTGCCTGCCTGCCTCTGCCTCCTGAATGCTGTTATTAAAGGCATGTGCCCTCATGCCGGGCCCTGCTATGTACAATTTCAAATACTTAGAGATGCAGAAAGAATACAAGCACACCCCTGTCGGTGGGGCAGATGTCATGGTCATGTGCTAGGCGGTGGAGGTGTCTTAGGCTGCCGCTGTGTACACTCCCTCACCCCCAAAACCAAAGATGGTTCTGCCCATGGGAGCAGGACCTATGGTCAGTGTGAGCAGGTGCCCTCTGGTGGCCTATTAGTAGAAAGTAGGGTAAAGGCATTCTGGAGTTCTCCAAGCACGGGCTCGCTCAGTCATTGGTCCTGTGCCCTAGGCTGCTTAGATAATCCCCAGAACACAGTTGGTGAGGGGAAGCTTGCTGCTGGAGATGCTGCTGACTTTGGGTTCTGTGTTGCTGGCTGTGTTCTCAGATCAGGTCCAGACATGGTTAAAGCCTGGGTCTACTCAGGAGATAGTGCCTCCAGGACTGGTTTGTGCTGGGTGGGACATGGGCCAATAAGAAGGGTTCAGAACAACCCAGGCTTTGGCCTGCTCCCTGAGGCAGGGGAGATGGTGAGTGGGCAGCATTTGGGCCCCACTGGGGAGCAGCCTGAAACTGCATGGAGAACTGGGTCAGCTCTGGACTGCACAAACCTAGGACTCAAGTCCTAGGGCAACTACCAGCCAGCCATTGTCCTTCATCCTCTAGCAACTCAGGCATCACTGAGCCTTTAGAATAGGCCTGAGCTGCCCTAGGGATCTGAATGTGACGGGTGGGGACAGGCAAGAGCTGGAGACACTTGTGAGTGGACAGGGCCCGGCATGATGGTCTGTGTGGACAGTACTGCTGTGGCTCCCACAGAGGTCAATGTGCAGATTCTGAAAAGCTGCCTTCTGCACCACCTTGGCAAGACTCACTGTTGCAGCAGCTGACCTCATCTGGGTTTGTTTTTGTTTCTTGGGTTTTTTTTAGAGACAGGGTTTCTCTGTGTAGCCTTGGCTGTCCTGGACTCACTTTGTAGACCAGGCTGGTCTCAAACTCACAGAGATCTGCCTGCCTCTGCCTCCCAGAGTGCTGGGATTGCACTGGAGCACAACTGTGCCTGGCTACCCTCCTGTGGCTTTTAGATTTAAACTGCAGGGACTAGGTCTGATAGTGAACTCCTGTAATCCCAGAGTTGTGAGGTGGAGGGTCAGGAGTTCAGGGTCAGACTTGGCTGCGTAAACCTGCAGCAAAAAAACAAAGAAGACGAATGGCTCAGTTTACAAGAGTGCTTGCCACCAAGCATGGTGACCTGATCCCTGGACCCTACATGGTGGATGGATAACCAGCTTCTCCAAGTTATCCTGTGACTTCCACACATATGTCACAGCATGCACACACAAACACACACATACAACTCTAATATACTAAATTATATATTTACATAATATAATAATATATATAATCTATTCATACATATAATATATAACATAATATATAATAGGTTATAATATATAATAGATGAAATATGATTTATATTATATAATATAAAATGGTAGATAACACAATTATATAATATTTAATAATATACATAGTTATATAATTTATTATAACATAATGATATGTCATAATGTACAATATATTATATTTGTATATATAATATACAATATTATAGTTGTATATTAGAATATATAATTATAAAACATATAATAAATTGTACATAATATATTATATATTATCTACATATAATAATTTAAAAATATACACATACAGGCTGGAGAGACGGCTCAATAGTGTAGAGCGTGTGCTGCTTTCCAGAGGACCTCTAGGCCCCTAGCACTCACATCAGGGCCTCAGAACCACCTGTAACTGTAGCCCCTGGGACTCAGTACCCCCCTTGGCCTCCACAGTAAACTGCACTATGTGTACATAGCCTTACACAGACACATGAATAATTAAAAATAAGTCTTTAAAACAATCTTGCAATAAAACAAAACATGCTGTCTGTTCCTCAGCAGCTCCCATTTGGGTGCTGAGATGATCAGCAGGTAAAAGTTCTGGCCATGCAGGCCTGCTGACCTCAGTTCCAGCCCCAGGACTCATGGGAAGGTGGAAAGAGAATCAACTCCGCAAAGGTGTCCTCTGACCTCTGCATGTGTGACCCTCCATCACATACAGACACACTAATATTTCATAGAAGTTTTGTAGGCCCTTGATCCTGCTCCCCGAGGGCAATGGGAGCCTTGGCAGGGCTTTGTTTATTTGTTTATTGAAGTGTGGTCTCACGATAGCCCAGGCTGGCCTCGGATCCACAGGTGTACAGTCCTCCTGCCCCCCAAACACTAAAGGGCTTTGGTAAGTAATTGGCAGATCAGGGTGTGTCTGTACAGCAGTTTTTACATCTGTAAGTAAGGACCACAGTGGTCCTATTCTCATAGACTGGGAATGTGCTTCAAGCATGACAGAAAAATACGCAGGGTTTTCACTCACTTTTTCCATCCTTTGTTGAGCTCTCTCGGCGCTGAGCAGAGAATGTGCTGGCTGCAAGGCCCATGGGACTTGAGGCTGTCAGTAAGGTCTTGAGCATCCAAAGGGGAGGCCTTTGGGCACCAGGCGGGCATGTGGTACACACACATACATGCATGCAAAACACTCACACACATAAAACAAATCTTGAAAAATTAAAACAAACAAGCAGAAACAAATAGGAAGCTTGTGGTGATCCATCTGCATTGCTGGTAGGAACAGTGAACTGGGAAAAGCATCCATCTGTGCTGGGACTGCAGACACAGGAGGAGTGGTAAGGCAGGGGGAAGAGTGAGGGGGAGAGAAGGGAGAAAATGGGGAGGGGAGCACCAGGCCATGTACCTTGTCTAGGTGTCTAGCTTGGAGTTCTCAGAGGAAAACCCGGCTGGTGGCAGTGTGTAAAGGGCACAGCCCTCCCCTCATCCCCAGACTTGAAGGCTCCAGCTTCAGTCCCAGCCGTGCAATCTTTCAAGGTCATTCAAGGGCATCTTGGGCATCTGTGGGTGTGGTCTGTGGCTGACTTTGCTTGAGCTCTGCCCTGGTCCCAGCAGCTCCCTGCTCACTGGCACTGGGCGTCTAGCCCCTCCTAGCAGCATTTTCTCAGGCTGTTCCATGGAATACCCTCCACTGTCTTGTGGTACCTACCTTGTGTCCCTCAATGGTAAACTGGGTTCCATTTCCCTCCAAGGCATGTCACAGTGTCTGGGACAAATTACACATCATACTGGGAACAGACAGATTGGGAGCTGGGGTTCTTCCTGCTCCTTCCCTCCCTGCCAGACTTGGGGGTGGTTGTCAGTATAGAACTACGGGGGGCTAGGACAGCTTTTGAGGGGCTCTTAAGGTCCTGAAAAGATTCACGCTTCATTCCAAATTCAGTGGAAGGCTTTGGAAATGCTTTGTGGGTTAGTTTTTAAGTAGGGGAGTCAGGCAGGTAAGTGGAAGATGAAGGTGTGAGTGGAGGTGGCTCAGGAGTGAGATGGGGGGGCTGTGAACTCAGGGGTTGAGTATAGGCGATGTTTGGAATCTGCAGGTGGAATATCTTGGAAGGGAAGGACTGACAGGCTGGTATGAGAAGCCATAGATACTGACTGGAAATACCTAAGGACCCTGGAACCAGGTAGGACATCTTGGGGAGCAGGTTTGGAGAGGAAATGAAGAGTGGTTACTTGGATGAAATGTTGGAGCCATAGTGATTGATGTGAGACCATGATGGAGTGTTGTCAGCGCACAGTTGCACACACTGATCCTCCACCAGGGTTAGAGGCCCTGGAGCACGCAGTTCCTTCCATGTGCTGTCCCTCTGTCCTCTGTCTAAGCTGCTGGATCTGTCTATTTTACCTTCTCTGTAAACATTTTTGTTGCCATCCCAGGACCCAGGATCTTACACATACAAGTGCTCTACCTGCTGAGCTAAGGTCCAAACCCTCAGTAGGGGATGTAGGCTGTATTGCTGAACTTCATCAGGAGCCCTATTCATTTGTTCGTTCGTTCATTCATTCATTCACTTTGAGACAGGATGTTTCTAAATCACACATGCTGGTTTTGAGCTTTCGGTCTTGTTTCTGTTTCTTTGGAAGATGAGAGGACAGACCTGTGCCGTCAGGTCCAGAACGCTTTATCTTCTGTTTTTGTTGTTGGTTTTTGTTTTTTCCTCTATCTTCTTGAATGGTGAGGTAAGTCCTGTATAGCTACGGACAGGACACAGGGGAGACCTTGGGAAAGACATTGACTTTCCTCACTGTCTTAGAGGTAGGTACTATAGCACATTGTTCTGGGCTATTTGAGGGAGGCACAAGATGCTGGGAGCTCTGTTGGGGTTCCTGAGACAGACAGGGCAGAAGCAGAAGCTCGGGACTGCAGGATGAGACCTTCTGCAGGCTTGGAGCCGTGAGCTGTGTGTGTGGCCTCTGATGGTCTGGTGCCTGGTCCTGGGACAAAGTCTCAGAGGAAACGGTCCCCCGTGGGAAGGGATTGGAGCCATGCAGGCAGCAACTTTCATCTGATCACTTTCGCACTCAGACATGCTCCGGCTGGGCCTGGGCTGCTGCTGGGAGGACAGGGTCTTACCTAGCCTAGCCTGGTCTCAAACTTGTGATCTCCTGAGAGCCACCATGCCCAGTCAAACCTTTGCCTCCCTGCCCTCTTCTTTAAGGATTCCCTGGCCTAAGGACGTGAGGCCCACTGTCCTAGTCTACGGGAGGTTTTAAAGCACTCCTGGCTCAGCAGACCTGGCGTGGTCTGAGGCCTGCACTGCAGTAGAAGTACAAGTTCAGGGGTTGCCACCTCCTCTCAGTCCCTGCTTAACCTGCCTCCTAGCGCCCTGACCTGGAGGGGTGCATATTAGTCTCCACCAGGCCCTCTGTTCTGCAGCTGCCTTGCAGGGGAGGCTGCTGCTCAGCAAAGGCTCCAGAAGGACGCTGACATTGTCTGCATGAGGTTTTGATATTTTCTTCTTTTTTTTTTAATCTTTTAAAAAATTACCTTTATGTGCATTGGTGTTTTGCCTGCCTGTATGTCTGTGTGAAGGTGTCAGATCTTGGAGTTACAGACAGCTGTGAGCTGCCATGTAGGTGCTGTAATTTGAACATGGAGCCTTTGGAAGAGCAGCCAGTGCTCTCAAGCACTGAGCCATCTCTCCAGCCCCATCTTTTTCTTTTTGAATCAGGGTCTTGTTATGTTGCCCTGGCTAACCTGGAACGTTTTATGTGGACCAGGCTGGGCTTTTAACTCATAGAGAGCCACCTGGCTATGCCTCCCAGGTGCTGGGATTACAGGTGTGTGCCACTACAACCAGCTGCTGTGTGTGTAGCAGGCAACAGGGCCATGTGGAGGAGAGTACAGAAGACTGAGTTCTGGGCTTCCCCAGGCCTCAGGGGCTCACATCCCCTTGTTGTGACCTCTCTGTGTTTCCTACCATCTCTCCTCAGGCCTTGTATGACCCCATCAACCCTGACAGAGAGACCCTGGACCAGCCATCCCTTACTGACCCCCAGCGCCTGTCCAGTGAGAAGGACGTGCTCCAGGCTCTGGAGCCCCTGCTGGCCCAGGCCAACTTTTCTCCACTCTCTGAAGATGCTTTGGCCTATGCACTTGTTGTCCATCATCCTCAGGATGAGGTCCAGGTACTTGTCCCCAGAGGAGCCGTATTTGCTGGTGAGAGGAACCCCCACACCAGGCATTTCAGTGCCCTTTGTCAGAAAAGGGTCTTCAGATGAGGGTCTTAGGACCAGGAACACCAGGTGCTGCCGCCTGACAGGATCCTGTGATAAACAATATAAAACTCATCCCATGGGGCTGGAGAGATGGTGTGTGGTTGAGAACACTTGCTGCTGTTTCTAGCAACCACATGGCTACTTATAATGTCTGTAATTGCAGTTCCAGGAGCCCCAGTCCCCTTTTCTGGCTTTTACAGGTGGGTGGCAGGCCTACACACACAGCTCACTTACAAACAGAAAGACCAAACACCTATACACATAAAAGTAAAAACAAAATCTAGAGGCTGGGTGTGGTATCACACACCTTTAATCCAAGCACCGGAGGTAGAGGCAGGAGGATCTCTGTGAGCTCAAGGCCAGCCTGGTCTACTGAGTGAGTGCAGGACAGCCAGGACTACATAGTGAGACCCTTTCCCAATATCCCCTGAAATTCTTTTTTGTCTCTAGAAAATCCACCAAAAAATAACAAAAAACCTCGTCCATTCTCTCTCTTCCTTAAAGTCAACAAAATTATGAATCTTCCAGCTCCATGTCTTAGTGGACTTTAGGATGTTTTTCCTAGACACATCCTGTCATATTTTTCGATCTGGCCTGCCAGTGGTGGCAAGGCATAAGACCATATCTTATCTGTGTAGTTGCTTCATAAATGGAGACTCTTAAAACCAGAGCTACCTTAAGTTCTAAGAAGATTCCTGTGTGCAGGCCCAGCCTAGAGGCTGTAGTGCTGTGCAGTGTGGTCCTGCAGTGGCCACCACGAGCGACCATGAGTGACTGCCTACCTACACTGCATGATCAGCAACAAAAGGCAGGGTCCATTTCTGGCTAGGACACATATTCTGGCACCCTGACCATAACACCTGGCTCATGTTCAGCTACCTCTGCTTCCTTTCTCCCCTTGGCAGGTGACAATAAATTTGGATCAGTATATCTACATGCAGTTCTGGGCTCTGGGCCAGAGAGTTGGGCAGATGCCCCACATGTCCAGTGTGGGTTCCAAGCGCGGCTTCTTCCGAAAGTTGCCCCCTGTGGAGAGGTGAGCAGGCCCTTGTTCCTCAGTCGCAGCAAGAAGGAGCAAGGTTTGAGTTGAGAGGGCACAGATAGGTCAGGGTTTGCCTTTTCCATCTTGGGACCCTGGAAGGAGCCCTGAAATGGGAGGTACAGAGTGTCCAAATGCAGCTTTTCCTTCCCAAGAAAAAGCAAGAGCTACTGTTTCCAGAAAAAAAAGGGGAGGATCAGTCACCGCCATTTCCAAAGGAGGAAAATTGATAATCGGAGAGGAAGGCCACATCCTCAAGTGGCACAACCATGTTTCTGATTAACAGCTGACAGGTCCATTAATAGGAATATTTATAAGACCACGTGACTTACTTCCAACTCCTTGTGATTAAGTAGCTTTGAAAAAGGCCATGCAGCATGGGAATGTGTAGTTTCAGGTGTGTTTTAGTTTAGTCCTGGAGGTTTCTGGAGAGCCACTGATTGAAACCCTGAAGTTAGCTTTAATACAGGAGGAGGAATGCTTCAACAGCAGGATAAATTATCCAGTGAGACACAGAGCAAGCAGGCAAAAACCAAAAGCTTTTGAGACATGGTCTTACTTATGTTGCTTTGGCTGTCCTGGAACTCATTACATAGACCAGGCTGGCCTTAGACTCACAAAGAGCCACCTGCCTCTGCCTCATGAGTGCTAGAATCAAGGTGTGTGCCACCAGGCTTTTTATATGGAATATCACTAGAAAGTGGGTTGCAAAGTTTTAGGGTGGGTCTTCCAACCTCAAAACTCCAGTCAAAAAAATTCCCCATAGGAGCTTGGGCTTTAGTCAATTCCAGATGTGGTCAAGGTGCCAACCAAGAGAAGCCATCACAAGGTGAGAGGGCTCTGGTCCCCCTGTGCTCACATCCTTCTTTCGGGCCTTCAGGAGATATTTCAAGCGGGTGGTGTTGGCAGCCCGGACGAAGCGGGGACACCTGGTTCTGAAGAGCTTCAAGGATACCCCACTGGAGGGCTTAGAGCAGCTGCTGCCGGAGCTGAAGGTGCGCACGCCCTTGCTACAGCGTGCCCTGCTCAACCTGATGCTGGTGGTCTCGGGAGTTGTGTTCTTCGTCAATGTGGGCATGGTGGTGCTGTCTGACCTCAAGATGGCTACCTCCCTACTACTACTGCTCTTTGCTGCCTTCATGGGCCTGAGGGCCTCCAAGGTGAGCACCCTTGGCTGCCTAGACTTCCCAGCCAGCCCCCTGTACGTTTAGTGCTTCACACATTGTTTCTGGTACATGGTGCCCTTATACCCTCCTTACGTCATTTATCAGCACTCTTTACCCCAGGCAGAGTTCCAGTTTCTTCATCTGCAAAGTGGAGTTCCACTGGAGCACTGGCATGTTAAAGAATAGAGCAAAGTTATATACTTTACAGTTTGACTGACTGGACATGAATATTACTGAAGCCGGCCTTTGCTAGTTTGTGGGTTCCTAGCTCTCTTTTCCACCCTTCTCTACATTAACCCCCTAACACTGGATAGGAGAGGGGAAAATGGTAGAGGGAAAAGGGGGCGACGTTATTATTAGATTACTTCCTGCTGATTGGGGACATCCAGTTCCTTAGGGGGAGTTTGATCTTCGCAGTCCGGGTATCTAATTTCTTCTTCTCCTTGTTTCGTCTTTGTGCATGTACTTGACAAACAGCAGCCAACAGCGTCCAGTCACCAATCAGCCAACTGCAATCCCGCCTCTCGCTTATATATCCTCTGAAAAGTTTCTGGAATTCCAGATGTCACAAACTCTCAGAAACTATCTGCAGAGGCAAAACCTACTAGACACTACTAATTTGCCTACTAGACACTAGGCAAATTACAGTCACCTGCTGTGAAGCAGCCTCATATCCCCACACCCGGGATTGAAACAAAGACATATTCTTATAATTCTGTGTTTTTTAAAGAAACTGAATTTCTCACCAATATGACTCTACGGTTCTCTTTAAGTAAGTTGCTTAACTTCTCTGAACCTCAGCTACTACACTGCACAATGCCGGGAGGCCCTGATGTAGGGGGGTGGACAGAGATTAAATGAGTCAATGTGAGCCTGGCCACAGTACAGGAAGTACCATGTGAGGGCACAGTTGTGGGATGATGGTTACCAGGGGGGACTCTCTGTTCCCTAAGCTTCCTTCTTGGAGTGCTGTTATGATCAAGGAGAGAGCCAGCTCCAGCCTCAAAGGATGGCTTCAGAAACTTGGGGCTGGGCCAGAAGTTGTATATCTAATAAGCTCCTTGTCTGAGCTTTGCATGATGCTCAGGGCCTCCTCAGACCACTGTTGCTCAACAGCTAGGATTGAGGGTCAAGAGGGCAGGTGGGCCTGACACCCAAATGTGTTCTCTTGGTCCTTGCATGTCCTATTGGCAAGATGGCTGAGCGTGGCCTTTTTCAGTTCTTGTGTGGTCTCACTACCCCAGGACTACAGCCTGCCATGAGCTGTGTGTGCTAGCTAGCTCGTCATTCACTTGCTAGCTCATTAGTCCTCAGGCTGCTTTCAGCAGTCTTGACAGGCTCTCTCTCAGGAAGATGTGTGATAAAGCCTACAAGTAATGGCCAGGCCACAGTGGCCACAAGGGAGAGCAGAAACCCAGGGCCAGCACAAGGGGTTTAAACAAGGCCCAGGGTCGCCAGGGTGGCCCATGCCTGCACTTCTTCTGGATGCTGTCAGGGTAGCAGGGAGCCACAGGTTAACAGCAGGGAGGAGCTGCCATGCACAGGCATAGTGGAGGGCAGGACTGAGAGCAGGAGTCTAGAGGGTGCTCCGGCACTCTGGGAAGGGGGCACTGTCCAAGGTGAGCCCTCCTTCCACTCCTCAGTGGCCCCAGAGGGCTGCAGAGCCGACAGGAGTGGAAGGGCTCTGTTTATCCAGTTACCCATTTATTCATATTCCAGCTGCCACCCAGCCCTGACTTCCCACTGGGCTCACTCCCAGCCATTCACATCCCTAAGTATTCATTCCTTCTGTGCCTCAGTGTCCCTGGGTCTGTCGTACCACAGGTCCCTCTCCTGGTCCTTTCCTGTCTACCTGTGTCAAGCCACACACTCTCCGGCCAGCTGGGCCTGGAGCAGTGGTTCTCACTGGCTGCTGCAGCCAACATCTCCCATATCTGCTCTTTTGGGGGCCATGGCGCCTGCCTTGTTCCCAGCCTCCAGGTGGCTCCTACAGCTTATTCCTAACTCCACCCACCCTGCCTTCTCACTGCCTGGTGGGGTCTCTGTTTAGCTTGCCTTGTGGTTGGTTACAGTCCTTCGCCACCACTGTCCCACCCCACCCCCGTTTCTGCTGTTTGTGTGTTTGTGACATCTAGCTCCCTCTCCTGCTACCCCAGATTCTGCCTTTGCACTAGTGCTGTCCTGTCTGACTGATTCTCTGTCCCTGGGCTGGCCGCCCTGTGCAGTCCTGATCCTTGCCCAGTGGCTCTTAGCTTCCTGAGAGCTTCCTGGATTGCTTAGCTGGGATGGGTCTCTGGACACCCTACCATAGCCTGCTTTTCTGTGCAGAGCAGGCCAGGGGCAGCCTGGAGGCTGTGGAGCTGGAGCCGGGCAACTAAGGATTCCTATGGACATGGGTGGGGTGGCATGGGTTCAGGAGCCTGAGGATTCGTCCACTCTCTGGACAGCCTTGAGAATGAGGCAGTGTTTTCTGAGAACACACTGTGGGGTGTTGCTCATTTGAAGACCCAGGATCTGAGGTAATGGGGGTGGGAGGCAACCTGGGCAGGAAGGAGTGTTTGCTCTGTGGGCTGCACTAGGGATGTTTGTTTGTTTGTGTTTTTTGTTTTTGTTTTGAGACAGGGTTTCTCTGTGTAGTCTTGGCTGTCCTGGACTCATTTTGTAGACCAGTCTGGCTTTGAACTGACAGAGATCCACTTACCTCTGTTTTCCGAGTGCTGGGATTAAAGGTGTGTGCTACCATACTTGACTTCATGGTGTGGGCTTTTAAGAAGGTTCTGCCACCGAGCCATGGTGTGAGGGCCCCAGCTGTGTCAGTTCAGGCTGAATTCTTGGCATCATGGGTGGGCAGGCAGCTTTGTCCTCAGGCTGTCCATCATGTGTACTGACTTCCTGGGCCCTAGCAGCATCAACCTTGTATACATACAGCAGCTCTAGGCCACTTTCACTCAAGGGCTTGAAGATGGCAGGGGCAACACAGGACTACCTTGAGCTCAAGTATCCTGGCTAAAAGTGGGCTTGTAGTGTGTGAGGGCTGGGCTGCACTCAGTGCCCTTTACCTGTAGTTTTCTTCACAGTGCAGTAGCTTAAGCTCTTCTTTTTCAATTATGGAAAGGTTCAAATAGATACAGAAATAGGGTAACCTGTACCCAGTGTCCACTTTACAACAATCTGATTGCATCACAACACCCTTGTCTCTTTGTAATGGGTTACTATAAAGCAAATTAGACACGTCATCTGGGGATACGGAAGAATACTTGGTAAAGATGTATTGGGCTTGGAATTTCCTAGGCTAAAGCTCATGTTTTAAATCTTTGCACAAACCCACCCACTCACATGTGGCCAGATAGCAAAGCAGTGGGGCACTGGCAAAGGGAGTGCACTTGAGCCTAAACCCAGCCCCAGAGCTGAGCTCAGGAAGCCAGGCTGCCCTTTGCTCCTTAGTGGCCCTGTACCAGTGTCTTCAAGCCTGCATTCTCACAGGTGTTTGGGCAGCGTCGCAGTGCCCGGGCGCTGGAGCTGGCACACATGCTGTACTACCGAAGTACATCCAACAACTCAGAACTGCTCAGTGCCCTGGCACTGCGTGCACAGGAGGAACACATCAAGGAAGCCCTGCTGGCTTACAGCTTCCTAGCCCGCCGGCCAGGGGCCCCCCAAGGCCTACAGGAAGGTAAGCCCTCCCTGTCTCCTAGGTCCTTCCTGCTGTTGCTCAGCCTCCCCTGTTACCTCCCAGGCCCTCCCTGCTGTCCCCCAGGCCAACCTTTCGGTTCCCAGGCCCTCCTTACTATTCCCCAAGCCATCTCTTCTGTACCAAGGTCCTCCTGCTATTCCCTATGACAATGTGCTATCCCCCAGGCCCTCCCTTCTGTCCCCAGGTCCTACCTTCTCTCTCCCAGGTCCTCCCTTCTGTCCCGCATGTCCTGCTTACTGTCCCCAGGCCCTTCCTTCTGTCCTCCAGGCCCTCCCTTCTGTCCCCAGACTCCCCGCACTGCTGTCTCCCATGTCAATCCTGCTCTCCCTAGGCCCTCCCTGCTGTTCCTCAGGCTCAGGTTTCCTCTAGGTCCAGCTTGGACACAGTCTATCCCTGCAGAGACCTCCAGGTGGTTGCAGTCTGAAGTGGAAAGCTGGCTTCTGGCCCAGTCAGGCTGTGATGTGGCCTTCAATGGACCTCGGGCCCTGGCCCATCTTCAAGCCCTGACCCCCACCTTCGGGTTGTTCCCACCACCTGAGTTGCCACAACTGGACCAGCTGGTCCTAGGGACTCCAGAGGCCCCACAGGCTGCGCCAGGCAGTAGCTATCCCTCACCCTGACCTCTTACTGCCATGCCCTGCACTGGTGGGGTGCCAGGCTCTGCCTCCTCCACAGCAAGCTGTCAGTCGTGGCAACTGCATCTCCTTCCTGGTTGTTGACAGGCCATGATTTCTGCTAGGCCATTGGTTTTGCTATGCTATAGACTTAAGAGTAGCCAATCAGGGCCACTGGCAGTTGCTAGGCAGCCTATTGAGGTCAGCCTATCAAAGCCTTTTATTTCAGTTTGTTATTTTATTTCTCAGCCCCGCCCCTGACGGGAGCCTCCCCAGAACCGGTGGAGGGGTGGGGCTTGGGGTGGCTCGACACAGCTGCTGGATTGCAGCTGCCAGCGTTTGCCACATTGAGACCGGCCAGCCTGTGAAAGCTGCACCCGGAGGCTCTGCTTCAGCATCTGTTTAGCCTGCACAGGAACTGCTGCCACAAGCATCCGGGCGGGGCCCACTGCAACCCTCGAGCTGTTTGGCCCTGACACACAAGCGGGTGATAGACACTGGGCAATTCAGCCGTGGGCAGCCAATCAGAATTTCTGGAGGGACCTCCTCCTCTTCCATGTGAGATGAGCCATCTGTTCTGCAGCTGATCCTTTCTGCATGAAGGCACTGGGCTGGGAACTTCCTGCCCCAAAGAAGTTCTGCAGGATTCCACCCCAAGATCACTCTAGCTCAGGCCTCAGCAGGGTCCTAGGCCTGCCCTACCTTGCCGCAGAAACCACTTCAGCCTGGTTCTCCTAACTTGTGCAATATTTATCCTCCCTAACCCTCCTTCAGAGGAATAAATCATGTGTAATAAATTGGTGTGGCTGCAGGTGAAGGGGATGGTCAGAAGCCCAGAAAAAGGGTGTGGCTGGATCCCGGACTGGCCTCTTAGAGGCACTGAGACCTGAGGAGAGCTTTACTGCAAGAGTCTGGTTCTCAGCCAGAAAGACAGGGTGCAGGCTGTCCAGTGAGTGCATCATGGCACACTGCCAGAAAGTAGGTACCTGTAAAATCCAGCCGGTACCGCCTGCCTGAGAGTAGAGGAGGGTGTCAAACTGGCTGTAGAGGTGGCCTTTGTTGTGGGGGGCAGGTTCTAGAAAGGAGAGGAGATGGGTTTGCAATAGGAAACTCTGCCAGTGGTCAGTCGGAGAGAAGGGATGAAAGAGATCAACTCAAAACAGCCTGGGTTCCTGAGAGAGGGATGCTGCAGAGCCTGGAGCAGGGAGAGTGGACTGAGACTGTGTTCTCATGAGGTCTTCAGGGAGGGAGGGCATGCATCCTGATCTTCCCAAGCTTCCCTGGGGAAGCTGGCTCCATGCAGGGCCCCAGGGTGTTGAGCCTGGGAGGTGAGCTCTGGATGAGACTAAAGGGGGCATGTGTTGTTATGGAAGGAGGAAGGGAGCCGAGTCAGGCTCGTGGTTAAATGGATTTATTTTCTAGGGGACAGAGTGCTCATTCACGTTTCCGCAGGTGGATGTAGACAATGCCGCTGACCAGGGCGAGTGGGAAAGCCACCCAGGCCAGGGCAAAGCAGTATCCGAAGCTGCCCCCTCGCGGGTGCTTCGCCAGGATCTCCTCAGCATGGATGGCATAAATCAGTGCCCCTGAGAACACAGCTGCACCTGCAGATCCGTGAACACAGCAGCGTGGGCTGGGTGCGGAGGCTGAAGCCTTCCCCAGGTTCTCGGCAGTCTCCCCGAACCACACAGGCACCCAGCTGCTACAGAGTAGCTGTGGGCACCTTGCTTCACCTCTGCTCCCTAAGGCCAGCACAGCTATCCACCTGTGGAAGCTTTTTTTTTGGGGGGGGGGGGAGGGTCATGAGCCAAACATGCAGACATGAGTAAGTAAAATGAGGGGGGTTCTCTGGGAACCCAGGAAGATGGTTTCCGAAACTACCATGATTAACTCAGCCCTTTGCAACCTGGAGCCAAAAATTTATAAAACAAAACCAACCAACCAAACAAAAGAGCTGTGCTTCTAGGTCTCGTTGACCTCTTCATTCCCCTCATCCCTTCAAACCTCAATTTATTTGACCTTTTTAAAAAAGTGGAACATGACCTGATTTGCCCAACCCTACACTTTCAGTTAGAGTGCAGAGACAAGAGGATGGAAATTTCAAGGCCAGCTAGGATGATTTAGTGACACCCAGTTTCCAACTAAGAAAATAAAAAGGGGGTTGAGAGCACATGCCTAGAACCCACCAGTGTGGAGCAGGGCACATGCCCCAGAGAGGACAGTTTGTCTAGCATGCCACAGACCCTGGGGTACATCCCCAATACTGGGCAAAGAGAGAAAACAAACTTCCGAAAAGGTAAGCAGGAAGCAGCAGATGGCTGCTAGGACTCACAACATTCCTTTTGTGGATCCTTTAGCTGCCTCCATCCCTGGAACCCAAATCATTCACCAAAACCTACTTCTCAAGCACTGCATCACCAAAGTCCAGAGATAAGCACAGAGCCTCTGAGAACTAAAACTCCACTAGCCCACGGGTCACACAGGCTGACCTTGGGGAGGGCTGGGACCCTGGAGATGGTTTACTTTGTGAGCCTTTAGTGCTGTATCTACTCCTTGCCGACATTCCCCAAGCTTGAGGACATGCTTACTTGTGCAGAGCTGGCATAGGCCGGTGGCATAGAAGAGCCCTCCTCTTCTCATGGTGTAGAGTTGGAACATGAAGAGGATGAAGGACAGGCAGCAGAGGATGAGGGAGAGCACCATGAGCACCTGCACTGCCTTCAGCCAGCCTACAGAGGGAGACACGGATGTGGTCACAGTACTCCCCTCTCTGTCCCACTGGCTAGTCTCTACCCACTCCAGGCTCAGCCAGGCAAGCTTCAGGGGTGCGCGTGTTACAAGGGTCACCAGGCAAACACCTCTGGTGAACTGCATCCTCACCCTCACTTGCTGCCACTTAGAATTTTGGAGGGAGGCAACTCCATCTTTTTAGAGCTCTGGCCCTTTCCTACTCTGCCCCAGTTCAATCAATGGCTCCATTTCCTTACAACTTTGAAAAGTCTTAGCTTCTCAGAATTTATGAAGCTTTCTCCCCATTCCTTAAGCTGTAGTATGTCATCTCCACCTATTCTGGATCCACTGGAACACAAGCAGTGGCCTTTCCATCCAAGCTGCCTCTGCCAGCCCAGATGCTCACTGCCTCGGCTAGATCCCAACCCGAGCCCTCAACTGTTTGGGGCCTTCCACTGCCCTCAGCTCTATGCTCACCATTCTCACTGACGTTGCCGCAGGCCCACGTTTTGGTGGTGGTGTTCCATGTGCAGTCATACCACAGGTTCAGGGACTCCTTCTCTGGGAGAATCCACCAGGACTGGGAGGGACGGAGACCAGGGAGGGTGAGGAGAGGAGGACGACAGAAGACGTCAGGGAGAGTTGGGATAGAGGCACCTGGAAGGTGGACTGATGGCCAAAAGGGTGGGCGCGACTAGGGGAAGGGATTGGCCCAGAGGAAGAAGTAGGGAGGTAGGAGTAGAGAGGTGGGGCAGGGAGGGAGGGAGGGAGGCAGAGGTGGGAGGTGGAGCCTTAGAGATGGGCTAGGCTGAGGCTCACGGTGAGCCGGAACCTCCTTACCTTGTCCAGGGTAGCCACGAAAAGCAAGATGAGAATGAGGATGTGAAGGGCAGAGACCACCAAGAGGAGGAGTGACATGACTGCCAGATGCCCGGCTCAGAGCAGGAGAGGCAAGCCTGCAAAGGGCGGGAGCACTCAGTCCTGGGGAAGAGGGCTGGGGTCTGGCCTTCTAAGTCAGAGGAAGGCTGGGGGATCTCTAGAGTCTGAGGGAGGATGGCGTGGGAAGTCTCCTGGGTGTGAAGGAGACAGGGAATAGGCTAGGCAGTTCCTCCCTGGGGAGGAGAAGGGTAAGCCGGCGACTCCTGTGCCCCTGGAGGGGGCTAGGGAATGCCCTAGATGGACATTTGGGAGACGAATGAGCAGGATTGACATGTTGGAGCATCTTCAGTTCCCTGCTTTAAGTTGACACCCCTTTCCGACCCATGAGGAGCAGGAATTGCCCCAGGACAGGCACCCTTGACTCACTCTCTTCTCCTGGGGTGAGTCATGAGTGACTCATCCCCCTCCCTCCAGCACCAGGGAGATGCCAGCCCCTGAGTGAGTCTCTGTGGTCCTTACCCCACCCTACTGTGGACCCAAGGCCCTGGACACTTGGGGAGATGGATTAGAAGGGGGGAGGGGGAGGACTGAGTGGAAAGACCACTCCCTACCACCCTTCAGTGCCCAGAGAACTCAGCCAGCCCTGGGAGCCCTCCTGTACCCCATAATCTCAGGAGAGCGCAGAAACTCCCAGGGCGAAGCTACAGCACAGTTTTCATGGTGGGCTCTGTTGGGACCACAAGTCCTACAGATGGCCCTACCCCTTCCTGTATCCCCACCACAAAGGCTGAAAGATCACTTCTTCAGTTATTAGTGTCCTCGGGAGCTGAGAGTGAAGGGTCTCTTCCTGCCTGGAGTGCCCCTCCCATGGTGCCCTGCTGCCAGTAAATAAAGTCCCGCCTGAATAACGGATTGAAAACTTACGGAGAGTCGAAGAAGAAGTCAGAGTTGGAGTCTGTCCTCCTTTGGGCCTCTTGCCCCGCCCTTCTGCTCCCTCCTTCCACTCTGAGGCCCCCGCCTCCCTCACGGCCTTCCTCCCACCCCTTATTACCCACCCGTCTCCCTCTCCTTTCCCCCTCCCTCCCTTTCTCTCTCTCCTCTGGTGGTTTTCTGCTTCTCTCAACTCTCAATATATACCAAGCCTTTTATATCCACTTTGGCCTCGCCCAGCTGAGGTCTGCAGTCAGGGGAGGGCACAAGCTCTTGGTTCCCTATCCTCTGCTTACCCAGTCACACAGTAGGCACATTCTGGTACCTCCTTTTGGGGCTCAGAGAAGAAATCTTTGGGGTCCTGGGATGGGTCACATTACCTCCTTGGATGGATGCCTGCCTTCTTTGATGCGGTTTGGGGCAGGCATGTGATATAGGTCACACTTTGAGCTGACTCTGAGGTGGGGTGAAGAGCATCAATCTACGGAGCAGGATATAGCCTTGAAGAATGCCAGTGTTGCCATCCCCAGTTATATGACGGGGATACATTTTTTTTCACTTCCCTGGGCCTCGGTTTGCCAGTCTGTGGAGTGGGTACAATATACTGTCAGTTAAGAAAACTGAGTGATGACGCCATTGGGTGGGTTGGTGCGAGGTGAAACAGTGTAATCCTTGAAAGCCTCTTGGAGGAAGTGATATTTGCCCTGACTCATTTGGACACTAGGGAGAAAAAAAGACGGCCCAGGTCCTGAGAAGACACTCTTGTTTGCAGAGCAGAAGGAAGGGCCAGTGTGGCTGAAGCACAGAGCCTAAGGTCTGGGGACCAGGAACATCAGAGGATTGGGCTGGAAATCCATGGAGGAATCTGGCGTGTGCTGTACGCGCCTTGAGGCCGTTAGGAGTCTCACAGCGCCATAGTCCCAGGGTTGGAGTACGAGCAGCCACGGCTTGTTCTCAGGACACTGAGTTAAGGCATGTGGTGCTGGCTGATATCTGCATCCCTTGGCAGGGGACCAAGTCCTGTTTCTGATGAAGCAAAGGCTAGGGGCCTGAATGATGGGATATGTGGGCGTCTGGAGCTGGGTGATTGATGGCCTAGGCCTCCAGCGGGAAGGCCTAGCAAGACTGGTGATGGAGAGCCCAAGAGCAGGGTAGCTCTGCTGACTCTGGAGCCTGTGTGATCCTAGGCAAGTTACAAACGACTTCTTCGTGCTTTCTCCATCTGTAAAGGAGGGGTCGTGCAGGGATAGCAGAGGTCTAGGGCAGTACTTACGGCAGGCATTGGGGCCTCGAGTGGAGTCAGGATGCTCGAGTGATTGGAGAAAGAGCAAAGACTTGAGTCCAGTGAGACCCAAAGCTAAAGTCTGGAACCCTAAATGAGGGTGGCTGCAGGAGGGGTCAGAAACTTGGGGAAGTCTAACTGTGATCCTCGGAGAAGCAGACAGTGGGTCACTGGGGACAAAACTGGGCTTGGGATGGAGTCGTGTGCTCCTCTGGGACACAGGGACAGGAGGCTCCATTCCAGCCTCCTCCTGGGAGGAGTGTTGGAGCCAGGAGCAAGGAAGATGCTAACGGGCAGAGGAAGCCAGCCTGGAACAGCTTCAACACTCCTTGAAAAAGTTGAAACAGTTTGGTACTTGGGGTGCCTAAGGGAGGCGTTTTGGTTATCACAATAATAGTATCACGCAGAAGTGGAAGTATCTGCAGACCAAGGGTGGTGGCAGGATCTCCCTTGCCCAGGCCTCGGAGGAGCTCAGCATCGCGGCCACTTCCTCCCACAGGAAACCGCAGGCGTCGGGCACACCCAGCCTGCAGGCAGGCGTCCGCAGCCCGCTTGCAAGAGGACCACGTGGGTTGAAGAGTTTGGCCAGATGAGGCCTCTGGAGGCTCCGCCCACTCTCGCTTCCGGCTCTGCCCTAGCACTCGCGAACCGTTGATCGCGCACGCGTAGTGAGCTTGTGTAGGAACTGAGTTAGTGGTGAGCCTGCCTCCAAACCATGATATCCCCAAATATCCAGTCCAGACACGCATTTCTTGGACCGGTACCGAAGAACCCTGCCTGGCCTCGAAGTCTAGTCTTCTAAACATCTCCCTTCAGGCGCCTTTAGTTTCTGCTTCCCCGGAGACCTGCTGTCCACAGTGCCTAGCTCCACGCACCCCATTTTGACTTCCGGGGGGCTCGCTCCTTCACGTCCCCTCAACGAGCGTCCCCCCAGGGCCTCCAGGTCACCCCCGGCCCCTCACTTAGCTCCTTTTAAAGAACACGGCTCCCAAACCCAAAGCCCCGCTCCCACAGTGCACAAGCTCCCGCCCCTTCGTCCTAAAAGCCTCGGCCGCTCCCCTTAGTCCCCGCCCTAACAGCCTGAGCCCCGCCCCTGTGGCTACGCCCTTCCCGGGGCTGACTCCTCCCTCTGCCTGCAGTCCCGCCCCTCACAGCGCCCAAGCCCCTCCTCCTCCTCTCAGCACTGCGGTTCCTGCCCCCCCACAGTACCCGAGACCCCCCGCACTCCGCCCTGGGTCCCTGGCCCCCTTTCCCAGGCTCAGGTCCCTGTGTGCTCCTGGCTCCTCCATCTTCCTAGTGCTGCGACCCTTTAATTCAGTTCCTCATGTTGCGGTGACCCCCCTCAGCCATAAAACCATTTTCGTTGTTACTTCATAAACAACCGTAACTTTGCTACAGTTATGGATCGTATTGTAAATATGTTTCCTCCGATGGTCTTCGGTGATGGACGACACCCCCAACGGCGTCGCGACCCACAGGTGAGGAACGCTGTTCTCTAGGGTCGTCTCAGCCCCCACCCCCAACACTCGAGTCCATCGAATCTTCCACTGGTCTCTCCTGCTCTCCTCCTAGCCCTCCCCCCGCTGTCCTCAGGCCTCATTGGTCCCCTATCTCCCCAGTAACCAGACCACAACAGTGAGTGTGGAGCTGCAAAGACAGGTCCAGGTGCTCCAGCAGGCAGAGCCCTCGACCGTACCCCGAGCCGGCCGGGGCTCAGAGGTGCCGACAGGCGGCCCCGGCACGGAGTCCGAGGCAGGCCGCAGGACCCAGGCTGTGTGTGTTTGAGGTGAGCGGCGTGCCGGTGTAGGCCCCGAAGGGCTGCTGCTGCTCGCCCTGTGCGTTGGCTTGCGCGCTCTGAGGCTTAGTGTCCCTTGCAGGAGCGCCGCCCCTATGTCCAGGATGCGTTTGGGTCTGTCGGCCAGGAGCGCCCGCTCCGAAGAAGTTAGCGAGGTCTTCCTGGAGGGACCCGGTAATTCGTAATTCCTCCTCTCCTCTGAAGTTCCTTTTCTGTCCTCAGCTTTTCCAAGTTCCAGAGCCAGGGCTGGGGACGCTTCCCAGGAGCGCCCTCTCCTGGGGGCAGATTCGAGCCCGAACGGAGGGGCCTCCCGGCGTGTGGCGGCGCCAAGCCGGGCAAGTGGGGTGGCCGGGAAGACTTCGGACATCCAGAAAATACCAGGGGAGGGCCTGTGAGATGGCTCAGCGAATAAAGGCTCTTGGTTACCAAGCCTGATGGCCTGAGTTCCACCCCGGAACTCACGCGGGGGAAGAAGAGAACTACCTCCCTCTGACCTCTCCTACGCTATGTAAACATAATTTAAAACAGAAAAAGGACCGGCACACCTTTCATCCCAGAGCTGGGGGGGCAGAGGCAGTTTGAGATTCAGTCCAACCAAGGCTACCCAGTAAAAAACCTGTCTCAAAAACAAAACAAAACAAAACAAAAGCTTGGGGAGCGAGAACAGCATACGCAGCTTGTGGCTAGGGCAGGAGAGTGGACATTGCTTTGGGTCAGTCGAGGAGCTGGGAAGGTGTGAAGAAGCTGATGGACTGGCAAGGCTCCTCCTCCGGGCTTGGATGCCAGGCTGAGGGGTCCAAGAGGAAGGGTTCATTCGGTAGGAAGTCCTTGGGGACTTTGTAGGGAGATGAGCAGGAGACTGGAGGAAGGTTCTGTGGGAAGGGTTGAAGCATGAGCCCCAGGACAATAAGAGAGAGGGAGGGGCAGGCGGAAGGAGAGAGGCCACCGCAGTCCCACCGAAGGCTAGAAGGGAGCCGCTTTCTAGTCCCAGGTGTTAGAGACCAGGAGGCATCCTCAGGCCAGAATGGGTTGGGAGGGGAAGGGGTCAGTCTAGCTACTAGGAGACACAGGGACTGAGGTGAGGTCCCAAAGGATGCCAAGGGCTGGGGCTGCGGAACTCTCTGGGGAGGACAGGCAGGCCTGATCCTTTGAGTCCTTTGCCTGGTCTCCCCACAGCGGATTGGGAGCTCAGCCGCCTGCGACGAAGATGCAAGGTGATGGAGGGGGAGCGGCGGGCGTACATCAAGAAGGTTCATCAAAGCATCAAAAAGCAACTGTGAGCGGGGGAGAGGGGCTTCTGAGCCTTGGGAGGAGGAGAAGGAAAAGGTGTGGGGGAAGTACACGAGTTATGGAGGAGGTGCAGGGTCCGAGAGAGTTGCAGTTGCGGGATCTCTGAGTCAGGTGCTGGGGAAGAGAACCGGTAAGTGGGAAAGCAAGGGGAGGAAGCAGAGGAGGGGCGGGGTTGGGAGACGCACAGGGTCAGGGGGCCAGTCGGGACTCAGTGACTGGGGCTGGTTGTTGAGTGCCACGCTCTTGCTGGTGTGTGACCCCGGACTGACTGACAGCGAGGAGATTCAGCAGCTGGAGATGTTCCGAGCCAAGCTCCAGATGCAAATCAGCGTGGCGCAGACGCAGGTCAAGCGACTGGGAGACAGCAAACGTTTGGAGGACATGGGTCATCTGCTCAAGTGCAGGGCCCAGGTACAGGGCGAGATCGAGGCGCTGCAAGATCAGACCCGGGCCTTGGACAAGCAGGTGGGCTCTGCTGCTTAGAACCTCTGCCCAGAGGCAGGGACGCTGTGTACTCCCGGGAAAACAGCACTCAGGAAACTGAGGGAGGAAGGTTACTGTAAGTTCAAGGCCAGTCTGGGCTACAGGTGAATCCCACCTCCCACAGTTTGCAACGTGGCAAGCAAAATAAAATATCACCCAAATTCGACCTGAATTTCAGCTGGATTAGGAACCTATTTGGATGCTTTTAACCATTGGAAAAGAATGCTTTTTGTTTTGTTTTGTTTTTGAAAGAAAGTCTTGCTATGTAGTCTAGTAACTCACTATGTAGACCCCACTAGCCATGAACTCATAGAGATCTGCCTGCCTCTGCCTTCTGAGTATTGGGTTTAAAGGCTACCCCATGGGTCCTGGAAATTATTTTCTGAACTAGTGATTCTAAGCTTTCTTTGTCTTGGAGCTCTTAATTTCTAAGTAAGTTTTTGTTGTTTAAATTCTAAGAGAAACCTCTAGAAATCAGAAACATGGCGAACAGCTCTGAGAGCGCAAGGCCTTGATTTGCAGCTCAGCTGATTTTTATGTTTGCTGACACTCCTGTCTGGTGAATGGTCCGAAGGCGTCACAGCCGAGGCGGGCCGCTAGCTCATGGAATGTGGCAGGGTGATGGCTGTCACTCCCTTTGTTGGGCCATGTCAGTAAGACCCCATCTTAATAGACTGCAGACTGAAGGGTCGCCACCCACCAGCACTGAGGAGCCGCCATGCCCTATGGCGGGGGAGGCAGGGCGCCCCGCAGTGGTGAGCTGATTGGTCTCATGTCACCTTGTCACAAGCCAGACACCAGCTGTTTGGGAAGAGGGAATCTTAATTGAGAAAATGCCGCCTTGGTATTGGCCTGCAGGCAAGTCTGTGGTCCGTTTTCCTGATTGATGAGTGCGGTGGTTTGAACAGGGATGGCCCCCATAGACTCGTGTGTTGAAATGGCTGGCCCGGAGGGCACCGTTAGGAGGTGTGAGCTTGTTGGAGGAGGTGTGTTGTTGTGGGGGTGGACTTTGTGGTATCTGCATGCTCAAGCTGTGTTCAGTGACACAGTCCCCTTCTGCTGCCTGTGGAACAAGATGTAGAACTCTCAGCTCCTTCTCCAGCGCCATGTCTACCTGCATGCCACCACGCTTCCCACCATGAAATAATGGACTAAACCTCGGAAACTGGACAGCCCCACTTAAATGTCTTCCTTTATAAGAGCTGCCGTGGTCATGCTGTCTCTTCACAGTAATGAAACCCTAACTAAGACGATGGCTGATGTGGATGGCCCAGCCTGTTGTGGTCCTGGGTGTTATGAGAAAACAGGCTGAGCAAGCCTATGAGAAACAGCCTAGGACTAGCCGTCCTCCACAGCCTCTGCCTCAGTTCCTGCCCTGACTTCCCTTCACAATGGGATGGGATCTGAAATAGACTTTTTCCTCCACACTTTGGTTTTGACCAGGGTGAGTTTTGTTTTTTCTTTTCTTTTTCTTTCTTTCTTTCTTTCTTTCTTTCTTTCTTTCTTTCTTTCTTTCTTTCTTTCTTTTCTTTCTTTCTTTCTTTCTTTTTCTTTCTCAGCAATAGAAACCCTAACTAAAAGAGAAACTAGTACCAGGTAGTGGGGTATACTATGATAGAGCTGACAATGTGTTTTGGGGAGGATTATGGAAGGACTTTGGAACTTTGGGCTCCTTGACTGCTCAGGTTCAGTGATGTTTGTAGAAACTAAGAAGATAACCCTGAGGGCTTGTGAAGTTTCAGAGAGATGTCTGAGCATTTCTCCAAGACTATCAGGGCCACATGTGTGATATTTTGAATTAAGAACTACTGAAGTGAAACCTTTGCTTTACTGGAACAATTGATTTTGGTCCGTTGGGGCTGAAAAATCAGCCATGATTAAGAGCCCAGCATCACTGAGGAGAAATCTGGGAGTATTTCCTCAGGGACAGCGCAGACACTGTGATTCAGAGGCAGCTCAGGCTGCAGCTCGCAGTGGCTCACTTGATAACATGAATGAGTTTCGTACTGGTTCTGAAGGCATGAAAGGGTCATGAAGAGCTGGGTTTGGCCCCATGTGGCAGGGTTAGAGAGAGTCCCAGAGAGGCCATTAGTGACAGCACAGCCTCAGCAGCAGTAGAAAGCCCAAGATTGAAGGGATCTTGGAGAGAGTCCCTGAAGAGGATTCAGGGGAGGTTACTGGGGAAGGTAACCCCCAGTTTTGGAGATGCCATGGGGCAACCACCAAGGGCAGCAGCAGGTGTGAAGTGGAGCGGCCTGAGCCTAGGGGGCAAGCTGCAGGTGCTGTATCCACTTGGTCTGGTCGGCCAAGCCCTCTGTGTGACCTAGAAGATTGTGAGTGGATCATTTGACACTGAGCTCCACACTGTTGGACTCTGGTTTTGCTTTAATTTGTTTGTACTTAATTTGTTTGTGATTGTGCTCTGGTTCTTCTCTCTTGGAATAAGAAAGTATTTAACTTAGCAGGGCGTGGTGGTGCACACCTTTAATCCCAGTACTTGTGAGGTAGAGACAGGTGGATCTCTGTGAGTTCTAGGCCAGGTAGACCTAGAAAGTGAGTTCCAGGACAACCATGGCTGTTACACAGAGAAACCCTGTCTGGAAAAACAACAACAACAACAGCAACAAAAAGAAAATTATTTAACTTATTTTGATTTTGCAGGAGCACACAGAGATTTTGTAATTTTAGAGAGGTTTTGGATATTTTAAAGAGACTGAATGTTTAAAGTGTTTAAAAATTTAAAGACTGTGGAAGCTTTAAAGTTTGGAATATGTTAAATCTTGTGATATTGACATAAGGAAAGGTTATGGTTTAACAGTGAGATGTTTGTGTGTCAAGTTCACAAGGGGTACTTTGCGCTGGTTAGTTTTATGTCAACTTGTCACAAGCTAGAAACATATTGGGGAAGAGGGGGTCTTAATAGAGGAAATACCTCCGCAAGATTGGCAAGTCTTGACTGATGGCTGATGTGGGTGGGCCCAGCCCGCTGTGGGTGGCACTGCTTCTCGGCAGTGACCCTGAGTGCTGTTAGAAGTCAGGCTGAGGGTGCCAAGAGAAAGTCGGTAAGCAAGACTCTTCCCCGCCTTCTTTTTGTGATGGACTGTGTTCAGGGTATGTAAACTAAAATAAACCCTTTCCTACCTGTTGCCTTGCTTGTGGTGTTTCATCACAGTAATAGAAATCCTAAGACATCTGCCAGCAGCTATTTGATGAGGTTCAAGAGACGCTTAGCTAATGTCTGTGTTGCAGCTTTGGGAGATCCTGAGCTTAGGGACCCAAGAACCATGAAATCAATATGATACTGATATATAACTGACCCCTTGTGAACTTGACACACAAACATACCACTGTTAAACCATAGCCTTTCCTGTTGTCTCCAAGATGTCATATTATTATCAATATCACAATAACATTCCAAACTTTAAATCCCCACACTTTAAAATTCCAACACTTTAAATATGGATAGAGCCCCAAAGGACGATTTCCAGAGGCCTAAGAGAGGAGGCCTCATGGTAAGCCCTTAGGTTCCTGGGGATGTGCCCTGGGCGGGGGAACCCTGTCTTTCTGGCTCTGCACCCTGGCTCCCTGTGGAGGGTTTTTTTCTGATGCTGGCACCCCATCATCCCTATCTAGGGCTTTCTCCAGGTGTCTTAATGCAAAGGGAACAATGATTGAGGGCTAGAAATCCTAGCTCTACCAGCCTTTTCTCTTACTAATGTAGTTATTTCTGCATATTGTTGTAACAGAAACTTACAGTCATATGAAGCTCGTTGTGGGAACGGAAACTGACAGTACAGTCACACCAAGATGGAGGACGGGTCAGTTTCTACAGCAGCAGTGTAACCCTGATTTAAGAGCTCCTGAAAACCTGTGCATTTTGAGTTGTCCCAGCTGACCCCAGTGCTGCGTGTTTGACAGTTACACTTTAACCAGGGCAGTTCAAGCAGCCAGTCTAGTGTTTGTGTAATAAGAAGTCAGAAGCTGTTTGTGAAAATAATTGGCATAGACGGAAAAATGTCCATATTTAATTCTTTTTGCAATTTCTTTTAATTTTTCTACTTATGTGTATCTGTGTGATGTGTGTATGTATGTACATGGAGGTACCTCTGAAGGCCAGAAGAGGGCATCAGATTCCCCTAGACCTGGAGTTTCAGCTGGTTGCACATCATGTCCAGCCGGTGCTGGAAAATGAACACTGGTGCTCTGCAAGAGCAGTGAGTGCTCTTAACTGCTGAGGCATTTCTCCAGATCCATGTCCTGGCTGTCTTGGAACTCACTCTGTAAACCAGGCTGGCTTTGAACTCACTCTGTAATCCAGGCTGGCCTCGAATTCTCAGAGATCCCCCTGCCTCTGCCTCCATAGTGCTGAGCGTTAAAGGTGTGCGCCAGTGCTGCCTGGCTATTGTGATAGAAAATTTAATTGGGGAGGTTGCGGATTCACTTAAAGTTTTAAGAATGATAAAGAGTTTCCCTTGTACATTTTGCTCACTATCCCCCAATTTGGATTTTTATTTGATTTGATTTTTATCATAGCTACCACTGAAAACTGGCACAGGAGAATGTTGCTTCACTGAAAGGCAAATGCTGCCATCTTGTGGTAGACCCTCAAGCCACCAGGCGCGTCTGGTGGCCAAGCGGGTATGGCCTATGCCCATGTGCCCTCACACATGTTGCTTGCCCATGAGTGAGTCTGGAGTTGGCCTCTTGGTGCATGTGTGTTTTTGCCAAAGCTGCTGGAACCAGGTCTCCTCGTGAAGTGGTACACTTCTCAGCTCCAGAGACTACTGTCCAAGATCAAGGTACAGGCTGGGTTGTCTGCCCCCGTGCTCAGCAGGACCCAATCTCTTGCCTCCTCAGGGTATGGTGTTTTGCTGGCCATTTGTGTTTATTGGTTGAGACAGGGTCTCACTCTGTAGCTCTGGCTGTCCTGGAGCTCGCTCTGTTGGTAACCGTTCTCTGGGTCACTTCTGGAGTCCTGGGGCGAGGGTGTGACAGGAATTTGTAGGGATACTATCGGGCCTGCAGTGGTACAGACTGGGGACACAGTGTTAAATGCATTGTCCATTTACATTCTGTGGAGTAAGCCCAGACACAGCGAGAGTGCAGAAACACGCTCATGCGGGAAGCTCTCGGGACTCTAGGTATCCTCAGCATCCCAGACTCTAAGCACCACTTTTAACTGCTGCTCTTAGTCTCCCAGCATCTTCCTCTTTCTGGGGACCATGACAGCTGCAACCCAACCCTTCTATTTCAGGTATGCTTTCAAAAACAGCAGGAGAGGCAGAGGCAGGTAGTTCTATGAGTTCAAGGCCAGCCTGGTTTTCATTGTGAGTTCCAGGACAGCCAGGGATAGACAATGACACCCCCTCTTGAAAAACAAAAAAAATAAAAAGACCACAAGGCAAAGGGTAGAGCTGGCTGGTTTTGGGCCACAGTTCCTGTGGTTTCCCAGACATGGGTCCATTGGCTACAAGGGCATTTTGGCTGACTTGGGTGTTACAGAAAGGAGGAAGGATGTGGGAGCTGCAGGGAGAGCATATGTCCTTGATGAATCTCTCCCAGGCATGTGATGGGTGCTGCGTTCCCTCCAGATCCAGGAGTGGGAGACCAATATCCTCACCAAGAGTAAGACGCCCCCAGCTCCTGGTGTCATCTTGGATCAGAAGGTGAAGGTCCAGAGAAGGATCACAATCCTAGAAGACCAACTGGACAGGGTGTGTGGCCTCGGGCTCTCCAGGATAGACCTCAGGCTCAGACTGGAAGGGCATCGGGAGGACAGACACCGTGGGCTTGGGGTTCCCCTGGAGGGTACAGGGTGGTTCTCCACCTCTGCCCAGGCCAGGCCTCCTGAGCGTGCTAACGCCCACCCCAGGTCACCTGTCACTTCGACATCCAGCTGGTGAAGAACGCAGCCCTGCGGGAGGAGCTGGACCTGCTGCGCATCGAGAGGGGCCGTTTCCTGAACATGCACCACAAACTGAAGAAGGTGGGGCGAGGAGGCCCTTCCCCCCCCCCCAGCTTAGTGCCCAGCCCCACCTTAGTGCAGGAGAGAGGAGGAAGAACCATCTCCCCTTCATCTCGCTCCCACGCAGAAGCTTCATTTGAAATCTGTCTCCTGGGGCCACTCACCAAGCTGTTCATACCTCTCAAGATCTGAGCACCTTCAAAGCCCTCTGAAGAGCCAGCCCGCCTCCCTCCCTCCTTCCCTCCACCCCCTTTATGAAACTTTCATATCAGAACAATTTAAGCGTATATAAAAGATGTGAAAACTGTACACAGAAACCTGTACATATGTCTACTAGGATGTATGTACATGTTTATATAGGTACGTATGTATAGGCTCCTTGAGAGACTTAATATAGAGCCCAAGTTAGACTTGAACAATCCTCCTGCCTCAGCCTCCCTAGTGCTGGATTACAGATGTGAGCCATCTTACCTGGCTAAGATTGGTTATTTGCCTCTCTCTGTTTCTCCCCCTTAGTCTCTCTCTCTCTCTCTCTCTCTCTCTCTCTCTCTCTCCTTTCTCTCCCCTTCCCTCGACCCCCACCTCACGCACTCGTGTGTTCCATGACCTTGACCTTGTGTTGTGGAAGTGTCTGGGCCAGCTGTGTTTTGAGGAGGAGGTTCCTTGTGTGGACCATCTGCTTGGCTTAGTGCTCTGTTGAAGGCAGGGCACTTTGGGAAGAAGCTGAGCTTGGGATTTGGTGTTCAGGTGTCACAGCCAAGGAGGAGGTGCTGTCCTTGGAAGGACGGAGTCTCCTTCCAAGACACAAATAGAGTGCTGAAGCTCCGTACTGATGACCTCAGTGACAGCTAATGCCCTTGCCTGAATAACCTCCACCGCCCTGACCAGTGTTCCTGGCCAGCATTCTTACTAGGTTCAGCATTGTGACTTCAAGGTGAATGTCCACAGTCGGTACTGGCCGTGGCGCCCCGTCATCTGGGTGTGCCTCACTACCCTCTCTGTGTGCCTCCTCGTTCTCTCCGCTCCTCTCCTCCTCTTTGCTATTTCTCCAGCAAGCTCCCATGTCTGCTGTGGCTCTGTATATGCGTGTGCAGTGAGTCCCCTCAGAAGCTGGAGTTACTGGTGGCTGTAAACTGCCCAGTGCAGGTGCTGGGACTTGAATTCTTAACCTTAAAGCCACCTCTCCAAAGCCCCCCCCCCCCCCAGCCCCGTAGTGGGGAATAGGCATTGGAAAATCAAGATTTAGGCCCTGAGTGACCTCTTTATGGCTGTGTTATGGGATTTTCTTTTCACCCTCCTGTCTCTCCTCCCTAGGTTATGTCCTCAGGGCATACCAGATTGAAGTGTCAGATGCTGTGGGCAAGCGCCACCCTCTTAGCATGGTCCACCTTTTCTTGTCAGTCTTTCCTCCCCCCTAGGAGGGTTTGTGTGTGTGTCTGTTCAGAACCTACCTGGCCCAGTTCTTGTTTCTGTCTTCTACATGTTTCTCTTTTCATCTGAGTACAGTTGGGTTCATTCACGTCTGTCTGAAATCAGTTTATCGTGTGGTTTTGGTGGCTGACCCTGCTGCCGAGCTGCAGCCTGCCTGCTTTACTTTTCACTCCTGTCTTTGTCAACTTAGCCTTTCTTATAAATTTGTAAAACACTAACAAGCCCCCCCCCCCAAAAAAAAAAAAAAAAAAAAACAGTTCCAAAAGTTCAGGCAAAGCATCATCCACCGTCTTTCCATCACTCTGGGGCACAGGCAGCCAAGCTTTTTCAGGCTAGCCTGGGCTACAGATCTTTACTCTGTCTCAAAATAAAAAGCACTCACTGGGGATGTGGCTCTGTAGCTCATGCCTAAGTCCCCGCCAAGCCCCCTAGCCCATTAAACCAAACCAAACTAAACTTCCAAACCTATCCCAGGAACCATCAGCATGACCTTATCTCTTCTACCTCGTATCTAGTGGCCCTGTATTACCTGTTTCCTTCCTCAGTTTCTGGTTATCCACACCTAGCCTCTTTTTGCAAAGGTATGTGTGTACGTGTGTTGTGTCCACATGTATGTGTATTTGTTACTCTGTATCTGTAGAAGCATGTGTGACTTCTCTGTTGTTTCTTCCTCTTGAAAGCCCCTCCCCCCTCTGAAAACATGCGGCTACTTATGTGGAGCTAGAAAACAGAATGGTAGGGTCACAGTGTGTTAGTCTGTCAGAGTTTGGGAACTTTCTAGAGAAACAAGACTCATTTAGCTTACGGTGTTGGAGGTGAAGAATCCAAACCACACAGGATGGCTTTACCTAGCTGCCTTGGTCTACCAACCACATTATGGCCAACAGAGGCATGAGGGAGATGTCAAATGGAGGAGGAAGCACAGGGTTGGACCTGGGAGGGCAACCTCAGTCTCTTCTGAGGTCACTGCCTTTAGCAGTTTTATAGTAGGCTCTACCTTCTAAAACATCCCATTACTTCCTAGTATTGCCAGGCAGGGGCCAGGCTCCCTCCCACGACTGTTGGTGGACACCCCATGGCACATCCAGAATAGTAATAACATCTAAGCAGGTTTCCCACCAAGGGGCTGACCTTTGTTCCTGGTGAGCGGCTCCCAGTTATGTGGCCCCTGTCCTCCTGATTTTCCTCTCATTTGGGACCTCATTACAATCCCTTTTCTGCTTCCAAAGTCAGTCTGGTGGTCTACATAGGTTCAGGACAGCCAGAGAGACACAGTGAGACTCTATCTCCAAAACAGAAATACGCCCCCCCCCCCAACAAAACAGAAACAATTTTTTTGGTCAGGGACTCATAGGAGGGTCTCCAGTGTGGGTGCAGGACTGCCCATGCTCGGGAAGGCTGGAGGAACAGCCAGCTCATTGTCTCCTGTAGGACATCCACCTGCTTCGGGAGATGGTTGGCGCTCTCAGCACGTCCTCTACTTCTGCTTACACAGCCAGGTAAGCCCCCTGGGGGTGTTGGGTAGCAGAGGCAGCAGGGAGTGGGGCAGGAAAGCTGGAGACTTCCAAAGATTGACAGAACCCAAGAGATACCCCGGACTCTTCTGCCAGACCCTGTGCCTTGGATGTGTGTAAACGGGAGACTTCATCCGTGACAGCAGCGGGCCTGGGGACCTAGGAGGTGTCTGGCGGTGGAGAACAGCTGGGCTACTCACCAGTGCTGGCTGTGGAAGCAAGCAGATGGCCTTGGCACAGATGCACTGGGCAGAGCTGATTTGTGGAGGCTGCTTAGGCACTGACTTTCCTTTCTGGCTCTTTGGCTCTTGGCCCTTCTGTGCCTTTTCTTCCCTCTGCTGTTTCCTGCTCCACACGTTCCCCTCTTTGCTTGGCACCTGCTTCCTGTGGTCCTGGGGCACCCCAATGTCCACCTTAAGGCCTTCCTCCCTCCTCCTCTTTCTCCCTTGCTTTTCTAATTCGTGTAATAGTCACCATTTAAAAGTGTACAGCCAGCCGGATGTGATGCCATATAGCACTAAGGCGTGCAGGGCCAGCCTTAGCTACTGAGCCAGTGTGAGGCCAGCTTGGGTTGCAGGAGACCCCATGTCACATAGCTACAGACGTGTGCAGCCCAGGAACATTCACCATATTGTGCAGCGGTGCTGTCCTTTCCTGAGGTCTCAGCAGACCTCTCACTCCCCTGCCTCTGGTGTCCTGACTGCTCCACGCGGATGGAGCGAGCAAGATGCTTGCAGCCATTCTTGTCCAGGGCATATGCTAGTTCTTCATCCTTTCTGCCAATCGCTCTGCCATTTCTTTTTGACTTTTTTTTTTTTTTTAACATTTATTTATTTTGTGTGTATGTGCCTGCATACGTGCGCGCATACTCAGGCCATGAGTATGGAGGTCAGGATAATCTTCCACCCTGTGGGGTCTAACTCGGGCTGTCAGCCATCTCCCCAGCAAGAGTCTGATTTCTTACCGTTGTCACTCTCCATCCCTTACTCTTGCCACCCAGGTCCAGCTTCCCCACACCCTGGGTGTCTAGGTGGCCTCCTGTCCTTGGGGTCTTATTCTCTCAGTTCTAATTCCCAGGGAGGGAATCTGTTTAGTCAGGTAGTTCTCTGCCTGATGGTGCAGTGGTCAGCTCATTTAGGCACTTGTAGTGGACGGTCAGGTGGGGCATGGGGACAGACAGGCTGGTTTCTGTTCTGGGAAGCTGTGGCTTGACCAACCAAGAGTTTCTTGGGGGTTGGGGCTTGCTGTTGTCAGGGGAGGCTATGCATGAGAAGAATGGCCCAAACTAGCCCTCAGGGGTGGCTCTGGGAGGAGCCCCCCAAGACTGGCAGAGATGAGATCAGAACCAGAATGTCCCAAGGCAGGGGCCCTTTGCCACCGATGATATTCAAACTTCAGGCCCATATTTACAGCCAAGCAGGGAGGGCAGCAGCCAGTCTTCCTGCCTTAGGATGTGGAAAAGCCCTGACTGCCCCAGTCTTCCCCATTTCTAGGTACAGACCATTCAAACCTCGGTGTCACCCAGGCACCTTCCTGAGTCTGACCACATTCTTGAGCCCTCTGAGTAACTGTCACATGATTCCTGGCCGCTGTGTCCCCTTGTGTACCCACCAGGCTTGTACCCAGCCCCATCCTGCCCCAGCTCCTCCAGCCGAGAATGTGCTCTGCCCGTTGTGAGCATCTTTGTGAAACCAGCTGGCACTGTCCTTCCCCAGGCCCCATGCTGACCTTAGCCCAATCTTCTGTTTTGACTGACATGCCCCTCCTCCCCCAGGGAAGAGGCCAAAACCAAGATGGGCATGCTGCGGGAGCGTGCGGAGAAGGAGCTGGCTCAGAGTGAGACAGAGGCGCAGATCTTGCTGCGACAGATATCCCATCTGGAGCAGCTGCACCGATTCCTCAAGCTCAAGAACCATGAAAGAGAGCCCGATCCTGACGTGGTGCAGAAGCAGGAGCAGCGAGGTGATCCCCAGGCCCTCAGCGATGGGGGTGGGGCAAAGGAGAGTGGAGCCGGAGAGTGGGCGGAGCCTGTTAGGAGGGCAGGGTTGCCCAGGACCCCCGGAACCCTGAGCTTCAGTGTTACCCACAGCCCGCGAGGTGGCCGAAGGACTCCGAAAGACATCCCAGGAGAAGCTAGTGCTGCGCTACGAGGACGCTCTAAGCAAACTGGCCCAACTGACCGGCGAGAGCGACCCTGACCTGTTGGTGGAGAAATACTTGGAGTGTGAGTGGGCGCTGGGCGGACGAGGAGGTGGGGCTTCCCAGCACTACCTGCTTCTCACATTGTACTGTCTCCAGTTTCCATTCTGTTGCTTGCTCTTTTCCTCCCTCAGGGTCTCTCTCTCCGGTCTGCATCTCTGTTTCTTTCCATATATTTCCTTCTCTCTTGGACTTCCTCTCTCCATATCTGTCCCTCAACCCTTTCTGTTTCCCTTCTCACTGCTGCCGATTGTTTCCCCGCGCTTTCCCAAAGCTCCTTTCACTGTGCCCGCTCTCTGTGTGTAGCTATCTCTCTGGGGCCGTCACTGTCTCTTTTGCTGTAGTTTCCACACTCTTGTGTTTGTGCGTGTTCCTGTTTTATGTCTGTTTTTCTGCCTTTGTTTCTGTCATCTTTCAGCCCTCAGTGATCCTCTTGTTTCTAACTCCATCCCTCTGTGCTCCCCTGCACTCCCCCAGTGGAGGAACGCAACTTCGCTGAGTTTAACTTCATCAATGAGCAGAACTCTGAGCTGCACCACCTTCAGGAAGAGATTAAAGAGGTGGGCAAGGCCTAGCCTTCTTCCACCACCCTACCTCCCAGACTCCCATACCCTGGCCCCAGGCCTAGAGTCAGCTCCAGTCCCTGTCCCTGCAGATGCAGGAAGCCCTGGTCAGCGAGCATGCCAGTCAGGAGAGCCAGCAAATGCAGCAAGAGCAGCAGTACAGGGCGCTGCAGCAGAGTGTGGACAAGGTGTGCTTTGAGTCAGAGCAGCTGGAGTCTCGCTTCCAGGTACTCCGAGCTCAGCTGGAAAAGCTCAAGACTGGTAGGTGCCCACGCGTTCCCTTGGCCCCATCCTCTCCCTCAGGAAGGGTGCGATAGCCTGGGGGAGCTGGCCACCAGGACGCCTTACATGGCTGGCTCTGCATTTGCTTCTCTGTCCGCCCGTACTTTTTGTCAGCCCACCTGGGGCGCGTCTGCTCATCCATCCCTTCTTCCATCCACCTGTCTGCTCATGAGTGTCCAGGTGTGTGATTGTTGGGTCATTGGCCAGGGTGCTTTTATAGTTACTGGAAAATGCTGAACAGTTCTCCAGAGAAATTCCTCAGTCTTTCTTTAGTTAGTTAGTTTGGTTTTTGAGATAGGCTCTTTCTATTATGTAGCCCCATCTGTCCTGGAACTCACTCTGTAGAGCAGGCTGGCCTGATCACAGAGATCCGCCTGCCTCTGCCTCCCGAGTGCTGGGATTAAAGCTGTGAGCCACAGTGTCAATTTCTCCTTTTACGCCTTCAAGTGCACCTGTAGGTACCAGGAAGGTAAACATGCCCGCTCCCCTGGTGCCGCACCACCACATTCTACTATATCTGCGGCACTCACTCAGTGCGGGCCCCACGGCGTCATCGTGGAGTGATGTCACCTTATCGTTATCTCTGTGACGTTCCCGTTCGGCTTCATGCATTTGTATATTAAAATTAGTCTGTCTGTCTATATATATATATATGTGTGTGTGTGTGTGTGTTTTTATGCATGTGTGTGTGTGCACATGAGCACACGTGTGGAGCATGCCATGGTACACGTGTGGAGGCCCAAGGAGAACTTGCAGTAGCTGGCTCTCTTCTTCCCTTGTATGGGATCTTGGGATCAAACTCAAGTTGTCAGGCTTGATATCAAGGGCGTATTTATTTACTTAAACAGTTAAGCACAGTTTGTGTGTGTGCATATGTGTTTCCCCTGTTTCATAAGGTCCTTGTCCTCTTGTACTAGGAGCTACCACGCTCCTGGTGGATTGTGTCATTCTAGTATTTCCCATTCTGAGGCACGGGGAAGGTTTAGGTTCCAGCGTGAGGATGGAGGGGGTTACGGTTCACCTCCAGCCGCATGGCTGTGGCTGACTATCCCTTTCTCTACACAGGGACAGTTAGGTGATTTCTGGTGGCGTGCTGTTGTTTCCTGTTAGAGAAGCGGAGACCCTTTAGGAAATTAGACACAGAACAGAAATAAAAATATCTGTTTAGAGACCATCCAGAGGTGTTGTGAAGCTGCTAAGGAGGGCAGCAGGAGCCACAGGCTCGTGTGTGTGGAGAGGCAGATGGGGTGGGACTCAGCGGGGACACTTCTGTCATTAACAGCAGCCTGTTCACCACGTTACATACAACTGGTCACACGGGGCCTGGGGTCACTTCCTAGATGCCTCTGTTCCACGTGGGAGTTGAGCGCTGGCATTATTGGGTTGGTGGAAATTAGGTTGTTTCCCAGCCAAGGTGTGCCACCAAGGCCTGTCTTCACAGACCCAGGCAGTCTGAGCCTTGCCTTTCCAGAAAAGCTGCGCTCGTGTGCTGGGTGTGGAGAGCACGGGGTCCCTGACGGTGTGGCCCTCTCTGATCCCAGATATCCAGGTTCTCTTCGACAAGGCGAAGTGTGACGGCAGTGGCATCAAGGATCTCCTTGGGGTCAAGAGTTACATCCGGGATAGGGACATAAGCCTCTTCCTGAGTACCATCGAGAAGCGGCTGGTGCAGCTCCTCATGGTGCAGGCCTTCCTGAAGGTTCAGGTGGGTGGGCCAGGCCTTGAGTGTTGGGGCGGGGCTTGGCGGGGCTTGGCTAGGCCTGCGCTAACTCTGGGCTCCTGCATTCTCAGAACCAAACCTCTTTGGCTGAGGCTGCACTTCTGGCACTGGGCCAGAGACTAGAGGATCCCTCAAAGAAGACTCCCCCATTCCATCCTCCTGAGACCATGTGAGGCTTGGGTGGGAGCAGGAAAGGGGCTGACTGCGTGGATCAGACAAAAGGGGTGGGATGGAGGGCGTGGCTATAGCTTGAGGATGTGGTCTTCTGGGGCACAGGGTGTGAAGTGGGAGCTTAGAAGGAGGTGGGAGTAGAGTGGGAAGGTGAGGTGCCAGTGCCCCAAGGAGAGGGGACAGGTCCAGGACAGCTGGAGGCTGTGTTTGGGGCAGAGCTGTGAAACCAGACTTTCTACCTTTCTCCCACCTGAGGGAGGACTCTTCGAGTGTTGTTGTCAGAGACGACTACCCCATGAGCAAGGAGGAGCTGCTGAGTCAAGTCATGAAGTTGGTGAGAATGGGAGCCCGTGGTTGGGGGGGGGAAGCTTCTCCTGTCCGTTGGGACCCTAATGTTGCCCGCCCCTAGGTGGAGCTCCAGGACCTGGAGGAGGCCCAAAGGAAGTTGGACAGCAGTCCCAGCTTGACCTCCAGCACGCAGATCTCCCTGGCAGGCCCGTCCCTGGGGATCCCTAAAAGGACCAGCACGGCCCCTGAGTCCATCCTGAGCCACAAGGGGAAAGCAGGCCGTGGCACTGGCTCCATCAGCCATGTCACCTTTGGTGACTCTGCCTCTGTTGCAGTCCCTATGACCCTGACTTCCACCAATGCCAGTGGAGCACTGGGGTCCAGCCGGAGCTCTTTGGCGGGCCGTGGGGGCTTCAGACATACCAGCTCCAGCAGCTACCTGGGGTCCACCGGCTATATGGATACCACCCGAGGCACCGAGACCACTGGAGGTGGCCTGCAGAGCCAAAGCCTGGGGTCGGAAATGAGTCGAGGCCTCAGTTCCAGCGGCGGCCAGACATCCAGTGCCCTCCCTGCCTCTAGGCCCAGCTCCTCCCCCGGGAAGGACTTGAGGAGCTACCACTAGGGCTGCAGGCCTCTCCCTGCCTCAGCCCTTGACAGGTTTTCTAATCTCTGCCTCCCTTCTCCCCAGACTCCTCTCCAATCCCTCTACCCCGAGGCCTCTGAAGTTTTCCTCCATCTCTTCCCATTTTTTCCCATTGTTACCTTCTCCACCTTGGCCTTGGCTCTCTGTTGTCTCCTTCCTCTTTGCTTCCTGTCTCTACCCCCCTCATCTCTCTCAAGCTTCCCTTCACCTGATGTCTCCTAACTGGATTTCCCTCCATTGACTAGGTGAACTGTAACAGTAGGAAATAAAGGTCAGAGCCCAGCCTTTTCCCAGCCTGGTTCCTACAGGTGTGTTCAAACATGGTTGTATCTGTTTCAAGCTCAGGGAATAATTTATGAGCCCATCTCTGTATCTGTTTATTCCTGTGTTCGTCCGTTCATCCATTCATCCGTCTTCAGAGTTTTCCCTGTTTCTGGTTCTGCTGGAATCTGCATTAATCAGGACAGGCTGGGTTATGCTGCAGAACAAACATCCCCAACATCTGGCTCTTATGTAGCCACATAATATTCTGGCTACAATATTCTGCTGCTTTGTAGGTTGGTTAAGACCTCTATTCCACATTATGCTCCTGCTCAGGCTGACAGGCCAACCTCGACCTAGACAGGGGGTCCTGGGAAAGAAAAAAAATGGCAACTCTTGGGGCTTTACATGGACCCAGTGGTCCCATCGTGCACACCTACTAGCAGGGCAGCCTTGGCAGGGGCGGGGGATGGGGCTAGGGGGCTTTTAGACATCTCTGACCGGCCCCACAGTGGGCCACAGTGGATGACTCCTGTCTGTCCATGCCTAAATGGTCTGTCAAAATTTAATCCAGCTAAAGCCAGACAAAATTCATCAGTCACCCTCTAGACCTCCTCCCTCCACGTGGGTGAAAATAGCCGGTAGGCTGAGGGGGTTTGTGAGAATGAAATACCTCGATTCATGTGAAGCAGCTGCCACAGCCTGTCGCGACTGACACCGAGGTCAGCAGAGCTGGAAACGGGGAAAACTCGGAAAATGAGGATGGAGGCCTGTGACTGACTATACACTGTCAGTGCTGTGCGCGTGGCTGTTAGACTGTCATCTGTACAAGTGAGAAAGTGTCTCTACATTCTCAAACACTCTTTGAAAAGCATTTTCAGAGCCCAACACTTGGAGGCAGAGTTCAAGGCCAACCTGGCCTATTGGAAGACAGTTCCAGGACAGCCAGGGCTACACAGAGAAACCCTGTCTGGACATCCCCCCTTCCTGTACTAAAAGATTACAGCTGTAGTATTGATTAATGGCTAATATGAACTCACTCCACTCACTGTGGGCGGGGCCACCACCCCACCCCACCCCAGCCCCTGGCGGTGGGCCAGGCCACCCCGACAGGTGGTCCTGAATTGTACAGAAAAGCAGGCCGAGAGAGAGGCATTGGGAGCAAAGCAGTAAGCAGCATTCCTCCATGGCCTTGGCTTCAGTTCCTACCTCTGTGAGTTCCTGCCCTGACTTCTCTCAGTGACAGACTGTGACCTGAGAGTTGTGAGACAAATGAAGCCTTTCCTTCCCAAGCTGCTTTTGGTGATGGCCTCTATGGCAGCAATAGAAAACTAAGATAATAAAAACTTGGTAATCTGCTTGTAGAGTGGTTGTACTATAAACTTGCTCAGTAAGAAGCAAAAAGTCACTTTTTTTGTGAGGGGAGGGACCATTTGGACAAGTGCTGAAACTGAAACCCTCAATGCTGAAGAAAGCAGTTTTGAAACACACAAGAAGCAATTCTAAAAGCCCAAGCACATACGAGCCTCATCACCTGGTGTTGATTCACTGCTCACGGGATGTTCAGCTTACACAACAAGCGCAGAGAGAAAATGTGGCAGCACACATCAGCATCTTAGCACTGCTCTGTTGCTGTGAAGAGACACCACGACCACAGCAACTGTTAGGAAAGAGAGCTGGCGTTCAGTGTCAGACATGAGTCCACTGTCATCGTGGAGACATGGCAACAGGCAGGCACGCGTGGTGCGGGGAGGGAACTGAGAGCTCTACATCCTGGTGTGAAGGCAGAGGTGGGGGGGAGGGGAGAAGAGCAAGGATGAGCGTGACGCTAGGCCTGGCTCAGACTTCTGAAACTCCAAAGCCTACCCCCAATAACACACTACTTGGACAAGGCCACACCTCCTAATCTTTCTCAAATAGTGTCACTCCTTGATGATTAAACATTCAAATATATGAGTCTATGGGGACTTTTTTTTTTGGGGGGGGGGACAGGTGTTGGTATAATGTTCTTTTGGAATGTATACACCTTACCTTTGTTCATTCAGATGCTGATTTCTCTCCCCCACTATGTGGTTTTAATCTGGACATTGCATTGTGATACTTACTCTAAACATTACTTGTCTCAAGTTTATGTAAACATGCCAAAATAAAGCAACCAGCCACAGTGTTGAGCAATGGAGAGGATAGGGTGGGACATCCTGGTTCAGAGTAGGAGGAAAGGAAGGAAGAGGAGGACAGGAAGGAGTGGGAGGCAGAGAAGGAGGAGAAGTGGCAGGAGAGAAGCTGGGAGAACAGAGGCTGGAGGAGAGGTCTTGGAATGATGCAGTGAATGAACCAGACCTAAGATATCACTAAGAGTAAGTATAATGGGTGAATCTGAATGTTAGGAAGCTATGAGGGCTTGGAGGTTTAGGATGGAGTAACTATTGCCCAGCATTGTGTTCTAGGTTAATTAAATAAATCCTAGTCTCTGTGTGGTGATTTGGTTATACAGCTGTTTAGGATTAACCTCAGCTTTACTAAGATATATATCAATAGTAAATATTAACGCCATAACATAATACAACAGACAGGGTTTTTCTGTGTAGCCCTGGCTGTCCTAGACTCACTTTGTAGCCCAGGCTGGCCTAGAACCCACAGAGAGCTGCCTGCCTCTGCCTCCTCGAGTGCTGGGATCACAGGGTGTACCATCATGTCTGGCTTGTGGGGACCACATGGCGACCACCGCTGCTTGTCAAAGGTCCAGCGTATCAACATCTTGGGTCGTAGTTATCCAGCATCCTTTTACTTTCATCCTTGATGATTTTTCACTGTGTATTACGGGAATTCCCTTATACTTTTTTTTTTTTTCGTTTTGGAAGTTTTGTATGGGCTTTGGTTGAGGATGCAAACACATACAATGGCAATCTCTCTAAACAAAATAATCCTTTGGAAAAAGCCTCCACTGGGCTGGAGAGATAGCTCCAAGGTTAAGAGCACTGACTGCTCTTTTGGAGGACCCAGGTTCAAATCCCAGCACCCACATGGCAGCTCATAACTGTAACTCCAGTTCTAGGAGATATGATACCCTCACACAGACATGTATGCAGTCAATGTATATCAAATAAAAATGAATTTAAAAAAAGGAAAAAGCCTCCACCACCATGAAACCATATGGTGTGATGACACTGCTTATTCCTACACAAGAATCTCCCTTGTGCCCCCATTGGCACCAAGAATAGAGAAGTTAAAGATTTATTAACTAAAAGATGGTTCCAGGAACCCTTAGGCACTTACACCTGTTCCTGAGGATGAAAGCACACAGTTGAGGTAATGATGGGTCCAGATCCAGAGCCTGAGACCTTGGCAGTTAAGGGCAAGAGTTGAGTTAGGTATAAGATAGCGCCCGTGGTTGGATGTAGTACGTATCCACGTACCTGGATACGTGACTACAGGACGGATATCAAGGTCTGGTATTCCCCAGGAGAAGCCAATTTTATTAAAAAGTTGGACTGACTTGATCCCCCTTTGCCGTATACAAGAATTAGGATTACCATAATGAAAAAAGGGCAAGATATCAGGACCTTCCCTGTGGGCCTATGGGGAGAACAGGCCCATAGTGGAAGGCACATAAGAAATGCAATCAGGAAACAGCTCAATGTTTATTAAGCTACATGACACACATGCTGCCTCAGGCCCCTTGAAGAATGAAAACTGCTCTTACAGGTTTGTTTCTCGGGACTCAGTGTCTGGCACCTCCTGACCACAGAGGCCCAGAGCCTGCAGGATGAAGAATAAAGGGACACCCGGTGGGGTTGCTGAACCTTCAGGAACAACGGGGACTTACATGCTTCTGAACTTACTGCTTTCGCTTCAAAGAAAAACATTGCAATAACATTATCTTATTCTGTATGTTGAAAAATGGGCTAAGATGGGTTAAAATAGTATGTGAAAAGATCATACATTTCTTGGAACCATTAAGTCTGCTTTCAATATTACCTGTGATTAAGTTACTATGCAACTATGAAGTGTAGAAGTGTAGAAGGTGTGCTCAGATTGTGTCAATCTTCCTCCACGACTCCACACTTCCTCCCTGGGACCTGAACCCCAGTGGAGTGAAAGAATCAGACTAACTTTGTAACTTATGTTTCTTTAACTGCCTTACAACTTATATTTTCAGGTTTTAGGCCCATGTTAATGAAAGCCTCTTAGTGCTTTTCCGGAGAACAGAGGAATGTAAAAGTTCCTGACCTTAGCCATCTGCGAGGGCAGAGATAAGGAAGAGAACAAGCAGAGATCTCTACTAGGTGGAGAGAAAATCACAGGCTGGCGCCTGTGAGATAAACTTTGTTTGGAAACTGGGCCAAATGGCCCCAATCCTTCTCCTGAATAGCTCCTGTCCTTTGACCCAAAGCCTGTAGGCCCCTCTCCTCAGAACAGACACAGTGTGCTCCACAGTGTGGTGGGACAGCTGTGCCTGACAACAGCCAACTGCACTCTTCAGAGTAGTGAGAACAGAGGAGATTGATGCTCCCAGCACAAGCAATGAATGTTCAAGGCCATTGACGAACACTGTGACTGCTCCAGTTGTATTCCTGCATTAAGATTTCCTTATTTCTGCTTTTGTTCCCATCTGTCTCTTAAAAAAACATGTCTCCTGTGTTGGAAGTCGGTCTGACGTTTGTTACTGGTCCGCAAGATCTGTTACACCTATTCTTGTTTTGTAAACCTGCCTAAGACATACTTGATTGGTTGATTATACAGCCTATATCTGGGCAGGACAGAATGGGGTAGGTGTGGCTAAGTTTTCCCAGGGCTTCCAGGACAGGAGAATCACGGGAACAGACAGACAGGAATAGAGGAGGAAGGAGGACGCCACGATGGGTTGGCATGGAGAAAAACCCACGTGGGCCAAGAGGAAGGACTCCAGTGAAAAGGCCCAGATGAAGAATACAAACGGGTACCATGGGATTGTGGATGGAAGGTAGACCAGATGAGGAGGGTTAAGGTGGATGGCACTGGATGGGGGCTGGGAGATGGATGGTGA